GTGCTACTACTAGTTTACCTGTTTAATTATAGATTCACTAGCATAAATACAATAAAGTTTATCTCTCACCAAATAGAATATTTACAAAGAAAAAACATGGACAGAGAGCGAAAAATTGTATGGGTTCTTTTCATTTTCCCAACAGCACTGGTACATGTTGGCTTATGGGGTGCCATTTGTAAAGTCAAACAGTCATAATCTAACAGCAATATTTTTGGTTATTTAGCATATCATAAGAGAAAAAATTGAGAGTTCACTTTTTCAAAGTCATATTTTCACCATGTTATTCATACATTTATAAATGTTAAAGTTTCCAAATAAATATTTAGTTAGCACGCTAAATATTTAATTTATAGTTAAATATTTATGTTGCAAACTAAATATTTAGGTCTGATCTAAATACTTAGTTTGTAAAATAAATATTTAATTCACTAACTAAATATTTAATTTACTAATTAAATATTTATTTTGGAAATAAATATTTAAAATTTAAATTAAATATTTAATTTGTAAATTAAATATTTTCCAAAGAAATATTTAGATCCCAGCTAAATATTTATTTTCCATGATGTTATTTAGCTCCACACTATAGTTTATATTTTTGGGTCAGACTTAAATATTTATTTCCCAAATACTGATTTTGCAAACTAAATGTTTAGCTCCAAAATAAATATTTAGCTGGGATCTAAATATTTATTTCGGAAAATAAATATTTAATTTACAAATTAAATATTTAGTTCCAAAATAAATATTTAATTAGTAAATTAAATATTTAGTTAGTGAATTAAATATGTATTTTACAAACTAAATATTTAGATCAGACCTAAATATTTAGTTTGCAAAATAAATATTTAACTGCAAATTAAATATTTATCTTGCTAACTAAATATTTATTTGGAAACTTTAACATTTATAAATGTATGAATAACATGATGAAAATATGACTTCGAAAAAGTGAACTCCCAATTTTTTTCTCTTATGATATGCTAAATAACCAAAAATATTGCTGTTAGATTATGACTGTTTGACTTTACAAATGGCACCCCATATTGGCTAAGTGTAAGGCAGAGAATGTCTGACTGGCAATTTATCAGCGCAGGGCTGTCCATCATGGGGAAAGGTCTGGCCTTAGGGGTTAATGAAGCAGTTAAAGTCATGGCACAAGGAGCCATGGGGGCGGTATCCTTGTTGCTGTCAGGTTTATGGCACTATGCCAAGATACACTGCCTGATCTCGGGGGGGATTAGTGATACTATCAGTGGTTGTAAAAGTCATTAGTTTCCTCAGATGTTTTGATAAGTGTTGCAGGACTCCCAAACTGCATCGGGATGAAGAGGAGGTCCATTCAGAAGTGATGGAGCCCAGAGCACGTCTGAGGAAGAGAAAATGACTGAAGAACTGGTCCCAGAGTAAAGTCTGTTAGATGACCTGCTGGAAGCACCATGAACGATTCTGAAGCTCCCTCTCATAGGCAAGTCACTATGGAAGACGATATATTGACCACGATGGTAAGGTGTTACTTTATGTTAGTCTTAACCAGCTTGGTGTGCTGGGTCATCCTGGGAATCAGATACCCTGGAAATGGGATTTTTAAAGCCATAGTCTGGCTTATATTATGTGTGTGTTATAAATTTCTGTTCCTGAGAGAGGAATAGACCCAACTGCTATGGTGTATTGTTGTTATTAGCTGTGTGGGATTAATTATTACCATATGGTACTATCTGGGTCTGACTTTAAAGATCCAAGACTCATGGATTTTTTCACATGCTGAGATGGTTGTGTGGTATGTTTTATAGTGTAATAAGGATGTTCTGCTCATTTTTGGTAAGAGTGAGAAGCAAGAGAGGAGGAGCTATATAAGATTCCTGAACCATGCTTAGTTTATACTGTTTCCTGCATGGTTGCTGGTGTAAAGCTGTACTTTTCATGTTTACTGAGTCTGGCCTTCATGTAGGTAGATGACCCTGACAATTGGATGGGGGAATCGAGCCCTGAGGGGGGAGAAAGAAGTCCTCCCATTAAGGGACCGGGTGCCAAGTGTGATGATACGTGATCCTTTGAGTGATAACCATACCAAAAGCAAAAGGGTTTATCTTAATGGTTTGGTAAAAGAACGACCTGTGAAAATTAATCCAAATGGACCACGGGGTCCTTTGGTTTGGCAACGTATTGTTCTGGTGGTTGATGGCATTTATCACAAGGGGACAAAGGTAATGAAGAGAATGGATATTCTCAGGAGAGTTACAGGATCAGATCGGACTCAACATTTTGATCCTGTGGCATATCAAATAATGCCTGGGGAGAGCAGAGTTCCTTGTCTGTTGTCTCGTCGTCGTCGTCTTCCTCCGCTTATCCGGGTCCGGGTCGCGGGGGCAGCATCCCATCTATGGAGCTCCAGACTGTCCACTCCCCGGCCACCTCCACCAGCTCCTCCGGCAGGACCCCAAGGCGTTCCCGGACTAGATTGGAGATGTAACATCTCCAATGTGTCCTGGGTCAACCCGGGGGCCTCCTGCCAGCAGGACATGCCCGAAACACCTCCTCAGGGAGGCGTCCATTAGGCATCCTGACCAGATGCCCAAACCACCTCAAATGACTCCTTTCAATCCGGAGGAGCAGCAGTTCTACCCCGAATGTCCGAGCTCCTCACCCTATCTCTAAGGCTGAGCCCGGCCACCCTACGGAGGAAACTCATTTTGGCCGCTTGTATCCGCAATCTTGTTCTTTCAGTCGTTACCCAAAGCTCATGACCATAGGTGAGGATTGGGACGTAGATCGACTGGTAAATCAAGAGTCTGGCTTTCTGTCTCAGCTCCCTCTTCACCACGACAGATTGGCTCAGCATCCGCATCACTGCTGACGCTGAACCAATCCGCCTGTCGATCTCCCGATCCCTCCTACCCTCACTCGTGAACAAGACCCCGAGATACTTAAACTCCTCCACTTGAGGTAGGACCTCTCCCCCGACCCGGAGTTGGCAAGCCACCTTTTCCGGTTGAGAACCATGGTCTCAGATTTGGAGGTGCTGATCCTCATCCCTGCCGCTTCACATTCGGCCGCGAACCTACCCAGCAAGAGCTGAAGGTCAGAGCTGAATGAAGCTAGGAGGACCACATCATCCGCAAAAAGCAGAGACGAGATTATCCTGCCACCAAACTCGACACACTCCACACCACGGCTGCGCTTAGAAATTCTGTCCATGAAGGTAATGAACAGAACCGGTGACAAAGGGCAGCCCTGGAGGAGTCCAACCCTCACCGGAAACAGGTCCGACTTACTACCGGCTATGCGGACCAAACTCACGCTCCTCTGGTAAAGGGACTGAATGGCCCTTAACAGAAAGCCACCCACCCCATACTCCTGGAGCGTCCCCCACAGGGTGCCCCTGGGGACACGGTCATAAGCCTTCTCCAAATTTACAAAACACATGTGGATTGGTTGGGCAAACCTCCATGCCCCCTCCATCACCCTTGCAAGGGTATAGAGCTGGTCCACAGTTCCACGGCCAGGACGAAAACCACATTGCTCCTCCTCAATCTGAGATTCAACTATCGATCGGACCCTCCTCTCCAGTACCTTGGAGTAGACCTTTCCAGGGAGGCTGAGGAGTGTGATCCCCCTATAGTTGGAACACACCCTCAGGTCACCCTTCTGATAGGCCATCCTATCAGGATCTGCTCTGGAGTGGTTCTCCTCTTATCTTTCTGAGCGCTCCTTTTCTGTGGCCGTCTCCAAGTTTAGGTCCTCCACCACCTCTCTTACCCATGGTGTCCCACAAGGTTCTGTGCTGGGGCCTCTGCTCTTCCTCCTCTATCTGCTTCCTCTTCAGCACATCCTGAGCTCCTTCAAAGGAATCTCCTACCATCTTGCAGATGACATCCAACTGTACATCTCCTTTAAGCCCCATGGGATGTCTAAGCTGCAGCTGTTACACACCTGCTTAGACTCTATCAAAACCTGGATGGCTGGGAGCTTTCTTCAGCTGAATGAAGATAAGACTGAGATCCTCAACTGTGCCCCAGACAAGCTGGTTCCCAAAGTCAGAGACTCTCTTGGTCAGCTTGCTTCTCACACCAAACCTTTTGTCAGGAATCTTGGCGTGACCTTTGACCCAGCTCTCACCCTGGATTCTCATGTCAGTTCTCTTGTTCACTCTTCCTTCTTCCATCTCAGGAACATTGCTGAGTCCCATTCTGTCCCGCTCTGAACTTGAGATTGTTATCCACACCTTCATCTCCTCACGCTTAGACTACTGAAACTCTCTTTTTACGTGTCTGAGCAGAACCTCCCTGAACCGTCTACAGGTGGTTCAGAATGCCTGTGCTCGGCTTCTGACCAAGTCCTCCAAACACACCCACATCACCCCGCTTCTCCTCCAGCTTCACTGGCTGCCAGTCAACTTCAGGGTTCATTTCAAGATGCTAGTTCTGGTCTATAGGGCCTTACATGGACAAGCACCATCTTACATTGGTGATCTTCTTAGTCCCTACACCCCCCAGCAGGTCCCTGAGGTCCAGTGATCAAAGCCTACTGGTTGTGCAACGCACCAGGCTAAAGACCAAAGGTGACAGATCATTTGCTGCTGTGGCCCCCAGACTCTGGAACTCTCTCCCCCTATATATATATATATATATATATATATATATATATATATATATATATATATATATATATATATATATTACTGAAATTAGGATCTCTATTATTTAAGATAATCTTTAATTAACGTTGATCTCATTTATTTAGAGACAGCAATAGCTCAGGAGGTAGAGTGGGTTGTCCAGTAATCGAAAGAAAGAAAACCAGTTCAGAGAAAGTTCTTCAGTGGAAAAGAAGTAAAGCGGAACTTTCCAGGAAGTGACTCAAAGTTTGGACATAGATCAGCGCCAACTAAGCAATAAGTCCACTGTAAACTACACTTACAGTTAAAGCACATAAAATTATTATCTGATTTGCCTTTTTTCCACAAATGGAAAGTTGAAAAATAAGCTGAAAACCAATTTAAAGAAATTCTTTATTGTAAATGTGTAAAATCAATATTTACAAAATGTTATGATTGTTAATGTTATTGTTCTCATCACTGAACCACATATTTGTAAAATGTACATCAGCATAACGCCAACAAAGACAAAGACTCCAGGGATTCATTAAACTTCAGTCCCACTCATACTGGAGACTCAAGATGCTTTTTGCTCATGACACACGTTTGAGCTCATTACGTGACATCAGATATTGTCTGATATAAGAAACAATGTCAATTAATAAAGCAATACTGACAGAGCTTCTGATTATTATTCTTTCTTCCCTTTAAGACCCTTAAATCAGCCTCGTCTCCTGAACAGGAACTCCAACTGTCTCTATAGATCTTAGTGATTCAGAAGATGCTTCTTCTGTAGAGGCTTCAGGATCCTGCAAAGATGGTTTTAAATTAAAACATGTTATGAACAAATTTAATAGACATGCAGCAAAAAAAAATGTAAAATGCATTTTAAACGATCAACTCAAAGTCAAGTGGAATTATGAAATGGAAATAATAATTTCCGTTTATCCATCCATCCATTTTCGCCCACTTATTTGCAGTCGCGTCGCTGGGGCAGTGGACTAAGCAGGGAGGCCCAGACTTCCCTCTCCCCAGCCACTTGGGCCAGCTCCTCCAGGGGAATCCCAAGGCGTTCTCTGGCCAGTCGAGAAACATAATCCCTTAGCGTGTCCTGGGTCTTCCTTTAGTTCTCCTCCCGGTTGGATGTGCCTGGAAAAACTCACCAGGGAGGTGTCCAGAAGGCATCCTAACCAGATGCCTGAGCCACCCCAACTGTCTCCTCTCAATGTGGAGGAGCAGTGCATCTACTCCAAGTTTCTCCTGGATGACTGAGCTTCTAACCCCTATCTCTAAGGGAGAGCCCAGACACCCTGTGAAGGAAACTCGTTTCGGCTGTTAGTATCCACGATCTCATTCTTTCTGTCACTGTCTTTCTATGGCCAGGAAAAAAAACACATTGTTCCTCCTGAATCCGAGGTGACCTCAGCACCAGTGATTGGAGAGCCCAACCTAAAATCCCTGGACTTGGCTTCCTCACTGGAAGACGTGCCAGTGGGAATGAGGAGGTCTTCGAAGTACTCCACCCACCAATCCACAACATCCCAAGTAGAGGTCAACAGCACACCATCCCCACTATAAACAGTGTTGGTGGTGCACTGCTTTCCCTCCTGAGGCGCCGGATGGTGGACCAGAATATTCTCTGAGCCTTACAGAAGTCTTGCTCCATATTACTGAACTCCGTCTATGCCCGGGTTTTGGCCTGCCGGTACCCATCAGCTGTCTCTTGAGTCCGACAGGCCCAAAATAGCTGACAGGACTCTTTCTTCAGCTTGATGGAATCCCTAACCGTTGGTGTCCACCAGTAGGTTCGGGGATTTCCACCACGACAGGCACCGACACAACCCTGCAGCCACAGTTCTTTTACTTTGCTTTACTGTGCTGTGGTCTATCATCCACCTGGTCCAAACAGTTCTTTCCTTCAGGAGTTTAGTGGCTTTCTATCCTCCACTGTGAAGTTGTCCAGACTAGTGATTGTTGGTGACTTAAACATCCACGTTGATGATCCCTCAGACCACTTTGCCCTGAATTTCTCCAGCCTTATGGACTCCTTCAGCTTTACCCAGCATGTTTCTGGTCCCACACACACCAGGGGACACACTCTAGACTTTGTTTTTACCCTGAGTCTAATGCTGACAGTGTTTGTCCTGAGGACGTTTATATTTCAGATCACCATTGCATTTTCTTTAACTTGTCAGTTTCTGCGACCCCACCTCCTGCTCGCCGTATGGTTAGTTCTCCTTTTCTTAATGAGAGCACAGCTAGCAATTTTTCTGCTGCTTTTGATCCACCCTGTTCTTCTGATAATGACCCAGATTCCTTTTCCTTAACTTATCAGTTTAACAAGCACTGCCTCTCCATTCTGGACAACATCTGTCCTTCAAATTCAAATTCAAAAATACTTTATTAATCCCAGAGGGAAATTGATTAACCTGTCAGAACCAGATCAGTTCCAGCAGTGACCCCTACTCCCTGGTTCACTGAAAGCCTTTGCAGCCTAAAGCGCCAATGCAGAAAAATTGAGCGCTTGTGGAAGAAAACCCATCTCCACGTCCATCTGCTGCACCTAAAGGATCTTCTGACATCAGCTGAAAACTCGCCTGTTCAAGCTGGCTTTGGTGTGACCTTCATCACTCTCTCCTTGTTCTGCTCTCCCTACCTATTCCACTTTCATCAGGATCCACTGATTTCCCTCTTTCCTATTCTCTCTCTCTCTCTCTCTCTCTCTCTCTCTCTCTCTCTCTCTTTACATTTTTTAATCACAATTGTCTATTTTTTGCTCATTTTAAATATATTTTTAATCATTTTCTAAAATATTTTTTATCTTTTACATTTTTTGTTTTTGTGAAGCGCCTCGTGATTTTTATCTTGAGAGGCGCTATAGAAACGATCTCTTCTTCTTCTTCTCTGGTCGACCGCCTCGACAATGGAAGCCCGGAACATGGCCCACTGGGACTCAATATCCCCCGACTCCCCTGAAACATTTTGGAAGTTCTGTTGGAGGTGAGAATTGAAATTCTTCAGACAAGAGACTCTGCCAGACGTTTCCAGAAAATCCTCACAATACGTTTGGGTCTGTCAGGTCTGACAAGCATCTTCTCCCACCATCGAAGCCAACTCACCACCAGGTAGTGGTCAGTTGAAAGCTCCACTCCTCTTTTCACCCGTGTCCAACATCATACAGCCGCAGATCAGAGTAGACGACAACAAAGTCGATCATCGAGCTGCAGCCTAAGGTATCCTGGTGCCAGGAGCACATATGGACACCTTTATGTCTGAACATGGTGTTCAAGACTTCGACAACTTTATTAATCCCTGAAGGGCAATTTGAGAGTTCATTATGGACAATCCATGACGAGCACAGAAGTCCAATAACAACACACAGCTCAAATTCAGATCAGGAGGGCTGTTTCTCCCCACCACACCTTTCCAGGTCTCACTGTTGTTGCCCGCGTGAGCATTTAAGTCCCCCAGCAGAATGAGGGAGTCACCGGAAGAATCACTCTCCTGGACCCCCCTCCAAGATCTCCAAAAAGGGTGGGTAGTCAGGGTGGAGTTCATCTTCTTTATTGTGGTGTCAAGACATAGTGGACCCAAACCATCAGTGAATTTGGTAAATGGTGGACGCTCCTTACAGTTATTACGGTCATATGCTATTATTTCAAAGGTATGATGATCTTTTTAGCTAATTAAGTCTCTTCTGATTATCAGATGATGGCTCTTCCTGAGATTAAAGTCACAACAGTAGATTACATATGACATCCACAATGCTAAATTATTGAAAAAGTTATGATGGCAACAAGAGGCAAAAATAGGAAAACACAAAATCTAAACAAAACAGACAAAACAAAAACAAAAGTTCTAAAATAACAGTTTAAATACATATTTACCCGTTTATGCTGTATGATAAGACTTCACCATCCTATCTGTGCGGGCACAGTACTGCAGCATTAAAGCATTTGATTATGTCGCTTATGAAACTCTCAACGCCAGACTGGATCAGGCTGTGTGCATTTTAAAACAAGCTCACCTGAGCATCAGTGTGTGAAAACGGCCTTTCTGCTGACTGAGGTTCGGCTGCTGCACCATCTCTGCTGGGTTCATCTGGTGCCTCGTTCACCTTCTTTGGTGGTTTGTTCTTCGTTTGTGACGAACCTGCTCCCACCTGTTTGGTCTTTGGGTGAGTGGCCTCGGCTGCAGCACCTTCACTTTGTACCTCCTCTTGAACCTCCTGCTGGTTTCCAGAGTCTGACTCAACAGAGGGATTCTCCTCTACTGCAGGACCTCCTTCCAGTCTATGAGCATCGGTCTCATCCTCACTGTAATGTTGATCTGCACTTCTTAGTGTCTCTACGGATGCTAGCTTCTCCACTACCTTGTTTGCACATCTCTGATGAACACTATTCCTGTCTAACCTGATATCCTCAGCTCTGTGTCTTTGGACACCCTGTTGAGCAGGAGCAAGAGCAGGTGCATCCCCTCCAGCATTGTAACCGTGGTCCTCGATCCTCAGAGGTCTTTGTTGAGGACGCTCCAGCTCTGGAGGTGGTGGATCTCTTCGAGGGCGACGTAGAGGAGCCATGATGCCATGCTGGAAGGCTGCCTGCACACTTCCATAAGAGACCACCTGTGTAAGAGTAAAACACATATAACATTTAATAAATGTTTTATGTAAAATGATCAACTCTACAAAGAAATAAATGATGTAATTACCAAAATGGCAAGTACAATAGTGATGAGGACTGGAATCTGCAGAGTAACTGGTAAATCTTTTAGGAGTGCTCGCAGGAACTCACTTATTCCCTGCCCAAAGTGCTTCAGTGGGTCTGTGATGAAGGTTGTGATGGTAACTGTAATAGCCTAAGCAGGAAAAAAAGATTGAAGAGCAAATCACAAACCTGTCAGATGCAAGTCAAACTACAGCAAAACAAACAACAGCAACAATGTGGCCAAAAGGTTGTTGAAAAAGCCTGAGAACTGTTGAGTGTGTTTATTGTTCTTGTAGTGGTTACTGGTTTTATGATTTCAGCTCTGAAACAATCCAGCCCTTGTGCCAAAACCAACCAGTCCACTCTGAGCAACTGCTGCCAGTTAGGACTCCGCACCAGAAGATTCTCGAAGACAAGTCATTCACAATAAGTAGATAAGTACATTTCACTGTATTATCGAGTCTTTGGTAAGTGAAAAAAGAAGCTTCAGATATCTTTAGAGTTGATTATTTGTTTCTAACTCACTGCAAGCACAAGAATAAGGAATAACTTCTGGGCCGCTCCTTTTACCGGCTCACATTCATTTTGTCGGCCGGTGTCGAATTTCAAATGCCGGCACAGACTTGGCAACCCTGCAAGCTCAAGTATGACTGGCTCTGGAAGCAGGAAGTATAGAGGCGGGACAGATTGTAAACAAATACTAGTCCTTCTTCTAGTCTTTCTTCTACTAGTCCTTCTCAAAAAGCAGAAGAATGTCCTTCTTCTGCTTTTTGAAAAGGAGAAAATCTGACAACCCTCCAGCCGGCTGAGAAGGAAATCTGTTTCAATGTAACCTTGCCCCAACATGATTTAGACATTAAACTGCTTTGTGATTATTTCATTAAAATATTCTTACTTTTTGTTATTTTTAACATCCAGATGGAGTGTTGCGATCACAATCCAGTTTAATAAATGTCTACTGCCCTCTGATGTAGGGGCTATAGGTGGCAAATGCCTAGTTTATTTGGCTGTTACTGTTATATAATTACATAATAACATAAAACACATTTACTGTTGTTTTATTAGCATTCATCTATAACAACAACTGTGGGTTAGTTACAGCTTCCGATTAATTACTCTGCACAACCCCACTTAAAAAGAAAACTTCCTTTTCAGTAAATAATCAGAGCCTAAGCTGGGGATCATCCAGCCAGCATGATCCCTGGAAACCCAGAGTCCGACTGGTCAGTCTGATCAAAGACTCATCAGCGCAGCAACCTACCTTGGTCGGAGGTACCATGAGGAGGGGGTTAATAAGGAGAACTTTATAGTACTCCTCACAGGGGTCATCTTGGAGAGTCCAGGTGGTTCTGTACCACTCTGCAGATAAACAATACACAATCCTAATCAGAAGTAATCAAACACATGGTGCAGTTGCATAGGCAAAGTCTTGGACAAACACTCTGATTTCTTACTGGTTTACCTTTAAGACTATCACTCCAGTCCATTTTCTTCACTCCTGTGCATTTTTTGTCAAAGTTTTCCATCTTCACTATGTTCTTTTGGTGCTCCGCGAAGGCAATCTGAGCAAACATAAGGACAAACTAAAGATTTCTGAAAAATGAATGAATGCTAGTGAAACCAAAAGCAAGAGCTCCACCTGACCTGGTACAGATACAGCCAGTTCCAGACAATACTGACAAAGAAGCAAACAAAGAAAATCCTCTTGAACTGAACAAACCAAGAGACCGTCGACCACAGCTGGGTGCAGATCAAGGTCGATAAAATCATAATGAATCCTGCAACCTGTAAGAGAAGAGGAGCAAAGAACATGAAGAACCTTTGACATCTAAAACACAGCAGATGCTTTGAGAAAACTCAGAATGTCACGTTTAGTTAATTAAATACAAGATGTTTTGGTTTAAAGCTAAATGGGATTAAAATTAGGGATGTTCCGATCAGGTAGTTTTGCCCTCGAGTCCGAGTCCAAATCATTTGAATTTGAGAATCTGCCGATACCGAGTTCCGATCCGATACTTTCGATACATAAAAAAAAGAAAAGAAAAGGAAGAAACAGTTCCAGAATGTTCCTTATTTTTTATTTAATTACCTTTTATTTTAATTTTTAACAACAGATCACTTCTGTGAGGTAGCTTGAACAACCAAGTAATGAAAAACATAAATTATTCACTTTTAAACTTCATTGCAAATATAAAAAGTCTAATATAAAAACAGATAGCACTTCAACTTAAACTACCTGGCAGAGGTCCATTTTGCCTCGGCCCCCAAAATGCTTAGATACGTCCCTGGGCATGGGACGGAGTTTTGAAGGTGATCTGAATTGTAACTATATAAATACTACATGCTGATAAATTACTGCTTTATACAGGTACAGACGTGTAGTGGGATAAATCTACCTACATTTTATTTTTTTAAGAACTTTGTTTTGTTTTCTTGGTTTTATTTTCCTATCTTCCTGTCCTGTCTGTCTCTGATCTTCCTGCATCTCCCAGTCCTCCAGAAAAACTCCTGTCTACTTCCTTCTTTTTTAACCTCACAAGTAACTTTTTAACTAGCAGATGAAATTGATCTATTGACCGCAAAAAAAGCGGAGTGTGTGCCGCGCTGCCCGGCTGCGCCAGTGATGAGCGCTGCAGCGGGGGCAGCGTGAGCGCGTCCACACGTCATGCTCAAATACAGACAGAACTTACCAGAGAGAAAATGAACGGACACGAACGACTGTGTGTTAATTGTATATTTTTGGTGACGCCACTTAGAAACTTAGAAAATGTCACTGTGGCCGTGTGCAGAACGCAGCTGGAGTTCATGAATAATCAGCGGTCTGCCTGCTGCTCTGCTCAAAAGAATCCCCGCTACGCTGAGTCCATATAAATAATATAATATAGGTAGAAACGGGATCTTTTTTGTTCTCCTTCTGGGTGTGGAAGTTAAGGGCATCAGGGGAGCCTGACAACCTTTAAGGAGAGCCAAGTTGCTCTCCTGAAATTTGAACCCAGTATCCGAGTCCGGATCGGGAAGTAAAGTCTGAGTCCTGATCAGTCTGAAACCACGTGATCTGGCTGATTTCCGATCATGTGATCGGATCGGGACATCCCTAATTAAAATAGCAGTAGTAACGTAGAAATAACTACGTTTTCACATTTGCTTGTTTATGTTTTGATAACCAAGTTTAAAAAATCACAATTCATGAATGAAAGTAAAACAAATTACTTTTAAGACCATGTCAATTTCCACTCCAAAAGTGTCTTCAAAACGCCACCTCCAGGCTTCATAATCATGGACTTTGAAGTCCACCAGAATCTGACTGACAGCGTTGTCCAGAGCACCGGTTCTCCATCTGTCCTCGCCCTCCAGGAGGGACTGGATCTCTGTCAGGGATTGTTTGGACAGCTTGACTTTAGCATCATAGAAGATGTCTGTGGAATCGGTTGGCTGGAAAGAAATTTTTTAAAAGTGACTCGACAAATATTTGTTTGGGTTATCATTTAGAATAATGGATTTCCCATCTGTACCGGGCACAGTAAAATAATCACTAAAATATATGAGAAGCTGACTTACCACACCCACTCTGTGAATCTCCTTTAGCAGCCTGCTTAGAAACCTCTTGAACACAGGACTGCAGGTAGGTTGTTGTGATATGAGTGTTATTGTTTTCTTTTGGACCACAATCTAAATGAAAGCAAAAAACAACATTTAAATTCCTGATGGATCAATAAAATCCAGAAGTAGGGGGATTTTCTAACTTGTGGCGTTTTTATTCAGAGACTTATTGAAACAATGAAGAAACCAATTTGATCAAAATCATCCATTCCATAACGTACAATCATACTGAGACAAGTTATAAAATACTTCCAATCAAAATCCCAGGAGAATTCGGGAATTTTTGACCCACTTTGTCCCAAGCATACTTTAAATCATATTTCGGTCTCAGTGCAAGTAAAAGTATTAAGTATACAGTAGTATTGAGTTATTGTTGTGATCAAGTATTTAATGATGTGCCTATTGTGTCACGGTTTTGTTTTTCCTAGACAAATTATCACAAATATAATCTGTACAATTAGATGATGGCTTCATCATCGATCATGTTATGGTTTATAGACATAAAATAACTATTATACTACTTTATTATCTATTTCATGTTTTTACTTCATCTACTCACAGTTTAGTGAGAAATAACTGTAAACATGAGCTGACTTAGCATTCGGCTTATTTATGCCTAATTTGAGGCTCTTTATAACGTATTTGGTTTCTGATGCATCTCTGATAAACAGCTAATATGAAGACAATCATGTAGTTCCCATCTGATGTTGATGATTCCTTCTTCAGACACGTAAAGCTTGTACCCACTGACCTCCTCCTGCAGATCTGCTACTTGTTGGTTGCAGGACGTGAACTCAGCCTGGCTCGAGTCCTGTGTGTACTCTCTTCGTTCGGTGGCCACGTTGGTGTAGGACGTCGGCTGTACAGCGACACATCCACACAGTAAATGTAATGTAACATAAGTTCCGTGTAGATGAATTAATGTAATCAGCCCACCTCAGCAGGTTTCCGCATTGATTTGGTGCCTGGGTCGTAGTTGAGCATGTCGTAAGGGTCGAGCCACTCGTCGTGCATCTGCTGACCCACAGCAGATAAAAACAAACTACACAGCAGGGCAGTGAGAAGCATTCTGGGTACAAAATCAAAGATTTCCACCTAAAAAATGCTGGTCTGTCCAAAAAACAAATATCTCCAGGGAAGTCATAAACTAAGGAAACCAAAGTGATAGTAGTTTCCGAGTCTACAGATCAAACTACATATCCAGTTAATTGACTCCAGGTATTATATGAATATATTTTTCTAAATAAAACATTTTTAGGTTAAAATCGAAAGTAAAATCACCACCTAGAGCGACTAAAGGACTGTAAAAGCGGGTCAACCTGAAAGGCTGAGGGTGAACCGGATGTTGTTTCTGAGTATAGAAAAGGATCATGGGTAATGTAATTTTCCATTATATTGTTATTATACGGTGATCTTTGCCATGTTTTGTTTTTAACAAAGACACGCAGTGGATAAAAGAAATATTTAGATTTGAGATTTCTGATTTAATCTAGCTAAATCACTTCCGCATTATGGGTCCCCGGAAGAACGAAAAAATTAATGCAAGTCAACGGGGCTAAAACGCTATTTTCTAATCAGCTTTACCTTACGCCCTGGATCACACATATGCTGTACTGCAATTTAAATGAAACGTAGTGATGGGTGTTTCGACCATGCCAGTCACGTACTTAGAAATGTATTACCTTGTAAAAGTTCGTAATTAGCATGACTACAAACTAGAAATCGGCACGTCGCATATGTGACGTCACAACATGTTCTCCTCTCCTCAAATAGCCAAGTGGTGCTACTTACCAAATGACCAGATTTATGGTGGTTCTTTCCTCTTGTGGGAAGTTTGCTGAACTTTTTTTTTCACTCATCTTCATTGCTAAAAATGTAACATCAACAAAATTGTATAAAACAGTGTGTGACATTAAACTGTAAACAGTGTGAGCAAGTTGCTGCCTTCCTCTCCTGAGGCGCCGGACAGTTTGCCAGAATCTCTTTGGAGCCGATCGATAGTCTTTCTCCATGGCCTCACCAAACTCCTCCCATGCCCGAGATTTTGCCTCGGCAACTGCCACTGCTGCACCCCGCTTGGCTATCCGGTACCTGTCTGCTGCCTCCGGAGACCCACAGACCAGCCATGCCCCGTAGGCCCCTAGAGTTTTGTGAACAAAAGCTCCCTCTTATCAATGTATATGGGTACAATAATAGGTCTCTAAATAGAAACATGATGACAAATGTAAGTCAATTAATTAAACAGTGGAGAACTACATATAGCACTGATCAGGTTATAACAGGAGGTGATTTCAATTTGACACCTAACTCATGGCTGGATAGGCAACCATCGAGAGGGAATCAACTGGAATATGACAGTATTCTTTGTGATTTTAGTATGTCAACTGATTTGCTTGATTACTGGAGGATGACTAACCCAAACATGAAAAAATATACTTGGTTCAGTCCAACAAACAACAGATTATGCTCAAGATTGGATTATTGGCTTATCTCTAAAAAAATAACTACATATATAACTAAATGTGAAAACCAAACAACCCCACTTACAGATCATTGTTTAATAAGTCTTTCATTAGTTGTAATTAAACAAGAAAGCAGGTAAACATTTGGAACAATTTATTAAAGATTGAGGAATTCTGTACCCAAGTCAAAAATATTCAATTAGAAAGTAAATATATGGAGATGTCGAACATTAGTAAATGGGAATGGTTCAAATTTAGTGTTAATTAGCTAGAAACCAGAATGAAAATATCGGCCTTAAGCATAAGTACAAGGGAAAAAAATAATAGAACAAATCAATTTTTTAAGCAGTATGCTTGATGTAACCACAGAAGAGGCAGAAAGTTTCAAATCTTTACAAAAACAATTAGATGATTTATACCTGGAAAAGGCAAAGGCGCACATGTGAGATCTAAAGCAAAGTGGATTGAGCAAGGGGAAAAAATTTCATCATATTTTTATAGCCTAGAGAAAAGAAGACAAAGAAAAAGATAACCAAATCAAACAAAGATGAAAACATAATAGAAACCCCAACCCAAATAGCTAAAGAATTTTACTTATTCTATGCAAGCAAAAAGTTTCGAAAGAGAATACAGAGATTTTTTTGACATGATTAAAGAACAGATTAAAAAAAATGAATGAGGAAGATAAAAAAAAGTGTTATAAGAAGATTTAAATTTAGCTGAAATAGAAATCGCTCTGAAACAAATGAAAAATGGTAAATCGCCTGGAATAGATGGCCTAACTATTGAATTTTATAGAATGTTCTGGCAAGATATGAAAGATATGTTATTTAATGCATTTGTGGATTGTTTAAAAAATGAGCAATTATCTCCAACAATGAAAACAGGTCTAATAACTTTACTGCCGAAACCAAACAAAAATCTAGCTGGAGACCCATTACACTTCTGTGTAATGATTTCAAGTTACTAGCCTTAGTATATGCAAACAGGATTAGGGATATCTTAGCAAAAATAATTGATGAAGGTCAGTCAGCGTTTATTAAAGGTAGATAAATTTATAACAATATAAGACTAATATTAGACATGATTGATTACCGATCCTTTATTAACACAGAAAGTTTAATATTATCCATAGATTTTTTAAAGCATTTGATTCAATAGAACATGATTTTTTATTTAGAACTATGGAACTTTTTGGATTTGGAAACAAATTTTGCAAAATAATTAAATTATTTTATAATCAGATTACGGTAATAGTTACATTTCTCTCAAGCCAGGTATTACCCCTACAGATGTATCCTGCGGAATTAGGCAAGGTTGCTCACTTTCTCCAAAATTATTTATTCTTTGCACGCAAATGATGGCTCACCTTATTGTGAATCATCCGGACATAGAAGGCATAAACATATTTGATACAGAATTTAAGATAAGTCAATTCGCGGATGACGCAGTAATTTTTTGAAGGATAAATCATTATTGGAGTAAGCCCATAAAGGTGATTTCAGTTTTTTCAAAGGCATCTGGTTTGAAGAAATGTGAAATTTTACCTCTCTATGATTGTTTGGAAACCAATATGAAGACAATTCCAGTGAAAGGAGAAGTTAAGTATCTAGAAATTTACTTAAACAAAGACATTAAAATTGGAGAGACAAAAAATGTGAAAGATCAAATTGATATGATGTTTAGAAAACTTAATCATTGGTTAACAAGAGATCTTACAATTTTTGGATGGAATTTGTTATCTAAATTAGAACGTGTCTCAAAGATGATCTGTCCATTATATTCTTTATATATTACTCCGCAAAGTATCAAAAAGATTAATTCAATAATATATAGTTTTATTTGGTGCAATAAAACACACTATATTAAAAATTCACAACTGGTTAAAGACTACACTAAAGGAGGAATTAAGACGATTGATTTCCCTCATGGTAGTTTTCTAAATAAATTGGCTAAAAGCTTATCTTTTAAAACCTGATTCAATATGGTTCAATATCCCAAGGAATATATTTAAGAAGGTGGGAGGGTTGGAGTTCCTTTTGAAATGTGATTTTGACATATCAAGGTTACCTATCAAGCTGTCAGATTATCACAAACAAATATTGTTTTACTGGAAGATGCCGTTTAATCATGACTTCACTCCCCAGGGCTCCACCTTGTGGAATAATAGGGCAATTAAATAGGAAATCATTAATTATAGTAGATAAGTGGTATGAAAAAGGAATTATTTTTGTTACAGATTTACTAGATTCAAAAGGTCAGTGTCTTGAAATAAAGGCTTTTAATGGAAAATATAATATCCAATGTTCACTTAAGAGAATACAACAAAATTTGTAAAGCAATCCCTTTGCCCTTGTTGCATTTGATACAAAATAATGCAATGTATGCTCAAAGTCAAATAAGCTTACCTTTGTTGCAGTTAAAACAATTCCTTTAATGAATAAAAAGTGTTGTAACAAATCCATAAAGAAACTGTTTAAAGATATTTCATTTCATGAATTTAACAAAAACATAAAACTAAAGGGATGTAATATTAAATCAGAAATATATAAACTATTTCAAATGGCCTATCCCCCCAAAGATTAAGGACATGCAGTTTAAAATAATAAATGGATATTACCCAGCAGCTCAAATGCTTAAAAAACGATTCGGTTTTGAGGTGAAACCATGTGGTTTTTGTTTACAAGAAGAAGAGTGTTGAACATTTGTTTTTTTTTTCTTGTTCTGTAACATCTAACTTTTGGCTGGATATGGTAAACTGGATGGGAATAACAATTAACAGAAAGAGTCCGCTGACAGTAACACAGGTTTTGTATTATGACTGTCAAAAGAACTTGAAATGCTGAGTAATATTGTTATACTTGTTGGAAAATACCACCTTCATAAATGTAAATGGCATAATGAAAATCATTCCTTAAACATCCTAAAGGTTGAACTGATACCACTGTATGCATCTTTAGCTCTTTAAAAGACTCATACAAGTATGCTGACCAGATATGTGAAAATATGAACCAGTACTTATCCTTTTAAAGAATGTGTCAAAACTTTGATACACAGAAAGCGTTTTTTTTTTCTCCATACAATAGATTCACACTGCTTGACATTTTTTCAAAATAAGTGAGAATATGGCCTTGAAAATGTTTTTTCTTTTCTTTTGTGTGTGTGAAAACATTGTTTTGTTGAATTGTAAGAGGTCTTTTAGTTCTAAATTCTGGTTTAACACAAGCAATGTTTTACTGTCGCTTCCCCGTGAGTTTGTATGTATGTAAACTAACAAAAAAAAGTGAAATATATGGCACAAAACAAGCGGAATTAGAAGATAGCGTTTTTAGCCCCGTTGACTTGCATTCATTTTTTCTTTCTTCCGGGGACCCAGGATGCGGAAGTGACTCAGGCTCCCTATAGTGAACATGAATCCCAAAAGGATGCAGCTAATCTCATTTATCAACAGTTCTTACAAATCAGTTAAACTGAACCTTCCTGGAAGTGACTCGTACATCAGCTCAAACTCAGTGATAAATCCCCTGTAAACTTACACCACTTACAGTTCAAGCACACAAAATTATCTGATTTGCTTTTCTCCACAAAATAAGACAACCAATTTAAAGAAAACCTTTATTGCAATTGTGTAAATTTAATATTTACAAAATGTTCTGACCACATTTATTGTTATTAGCATCGAACTAGTTTAGAGAAACCACATGTTTATAAAATGTACTATGTGCATAACGCCACAAAAGGCTATTATATTATAGGAAAGAATGTCAATAAAGCAATATGGACCAAGCTTGTGATTTATTTTCCTCTCTTCCCTTTACCAGCCTTGAATCCTCCTTTGCCACCTTTGGACTGTCTTCCTTTTCCTTTCCCCCCTTTGGCGTGTTCTTTCCTCTGTATTCCCCGAACATCTTTCTTCATGCGACCATCCACCACTTTGAAAAGTCCCTTAACACCACGGGGCCGTCTCACCTTCTTGCCGGCTCCCTTTTTGGCCACGACGTAGGTCAATTCTCTCTTTTCCTTTTTCACGCCTGCTTTCTTGTAGATCCTGATAAATTAAAGAGGGAAAGAACATGACGTTATCAGTATTTTGTTATTTAAAAATATGATCCAAGTAATTGAATTTCGTCAGCTGTGAAAACACACGTCTTTAGCTGAGCCAGCTTCTCCTTTTCGGAGATGTCCACAGTGTTGACAACAGCTTCAGCTTTCTTCTTGGCTTGCTCCATCTTCTTCAGCATCTAGAAAGATACCAAAGAAAGCAAGAAATTAACATCACCAGAGGTTCCTTAAAGCAAAATAATTCACATTTGACCTAAAATGTTAATTTTATTCTGCTATCAACACAATTTTTGCACTTTCAACCTACCCTTCTCTTCTTCCTGGCCTTGGCCTCAGCCACTCGTTTAATTGGCCGAGCGTTGATCTCCTTCCATTTTTGTTTGTACTCCTCCACCATCTCCTTGGTAACAGGTATCGGCTTCTTTCTGTGTTTACGTTCATCATCCAGGAACCACTCGGGTACCTCCCATGGCTCATCGGAGCTGGCAAACCTACAAGAGCATTTAATTAGATTTTTTTGAACAAGAACCTTTAAATTCACTCGCAGAAGTTACAGTATGTGGCTCATACTGGTCTTAAGGTTCATTGTGCAGAATGAAACTTTTTTACAGTTTCTTCATGTTTCAGTTGCTTTAGATCCATGGTATTTTCAGCTATATTCCTTTTAACAAAATGCACACAGACCTGTGGAAGGAGTCGTCCACCAGATCCCTCGCTTTCTTCTTGGATGTGGCAATCTCACAGCCAAGGGCCAGGCCTTCTGCATCCAGAATTCTTGCTTTCTTACCTGAAATAAACAGGAAACACAACCATTGTTATTTGCACAACATTAAAACCAAAGGAGCGTTCAGTGTTGGGACTAATTACTTATTAAAGTGACAAAGAAGCTTCCTATCCCATTTAAAGCATGTTAGCCTGTTAAGAGAAGGAAGAGTGAACTAAATGACCTAAATTAAAGTCAAATGTAAACCAGAGTGAGCAGTGTGATACTCACTGGTACTTTCCACAGGAACAACCTGAAATCCGTCCTCGTCAGCTTCTCCTGATGCAGCATTAGCTCCCTTTCCTGGCTTCATACTGGCAATTTCCCTGAAGATGGACCAGTCTGTTCAGTTGTAATTCATTTTATCTGATTTCCAGGGTTTATGATTTAAAATTAATTTCCCTTCTATCCATTATTTACACGTTTGAGATAAAAAACAGAGTCAGAGAAAGCAAAGTTTTACTTCTCATCGTCGCTGCTATCGTCTGAGTCGCTGTCACTTTCCTCCACAGCTTCCTGTGACGTTCCTGCTTTTGCCTCATCTGGAGGAGCAGCTTCCTCCCTTTTCTCTTCTCCAGTCGCTTTTTCTTCTTCCTCAAATTTCCTTTTTTTGCCTTTTCCTAGAAAACATTCAAATATATTAGTTTTGCCAGACACAGAGTCAAGCTAACAACTGACCTTTAAAAATATAGCTCGTCTAATAATGAATGAATATATATATATATATATGAAAAAGGGCGAGGGAGCCCGTTACCTGACTGTTTGCTCTGGAGCAGTTCGGTCTGTTTCAGCTCACTCTCTGCATCTCCCTCCAGGTCAATTTCAGAAAAGATGCCCTAAAAAGCAAATGACTAATTACTAAAACATATTTATGCATAAGCAGTCATGCTTTTTTTTATGAGATGAGTCACTTTCCTGCAGTTTTGCTCAAAAACAACAATCTCTCTGTGCTGTTTTCTCCCAAAAACAGAACTAGTCTCCACAGGCTGAAATACTAAGAAAATAGGAGGTTGGGCCATATGTAAAACTTTCCAACCTACATACAAATGACAAATGGTAGCAACCTGACACACAGGGATCCATCTTTCAGTTTGTTGAAGCAGACCACGAGGGTTCCATCGTTTTCTGATTTTCATTGGTTATTTGGTGCGTCAATCAACAACATACCGCATCGCTATAGGCTCAAGCTATACATGTAACAAAAGAGGGCGGTGCCTTTGAACTGTCAGCCAGTAGTTGAAGATTGTACCCCCAGCTGGAGGGGTCACCTGTTGGATCAGGTAGCCGTTTAACGTTAATATGAAGATGCTAGCGTAAGTTGTGGTAGGAAACTCATCTGAAAAGAACTTTGAAGGTTTTCAGCAGTCAGTTGTGTTGGATAATGCACGTAAGACTTGTTGTGGAATAAATGTTTTATTGGAGGACATTAATTGGACCCTTGTAAAAGAGTCTGTTCCAGATGTCACTCTTCTGTCAATGATGTGAGACTTTGACTGGTGAGTTGGACATTATTTTAAATTTCCAAGTGGCTTTACCAAAGTGTTTACAGTTATTTTATCCCTGCTTGCATTTATGACCGTGATCATAGCTTTCTAAGGATCAATAATATCTAAAGTGTCCCACCCGATCAGCAAGATCCCGTAATTATTGGGTTACAGGTGTTGTGCTGTAAAGAGCATGCCTGCCGAAATTAGCATCCGTTTTGGGAAGGCGCATATGAGTAAGGAAGCAGCTTTTTAATAAATTCATACTTTTAACATGTTTCTTATCTGCGTGGCTCCTTACAAATTGATGGTTTATGGGCAGATAAATGAAATAAATCATGGTTATAACATGTTTTATTTGAAGTTATAATAACTCTTTAAAAGGTTTGTCCTTTCAGTCACACAGCTGTTTTTTTCTAAACCAACAGCAAAATAGCTTAATAAGCCGGCACAAAATGCAATATAAAAATACTCAGTAACATATTGTCTCAGACGTGTTCAGACGAAAAAAGTCAAAAACATTTAGTGTTTATTCATTATTTAATTATATTTCTAGTTAAAACCAAAACCTTTAAAGGAGAAACCCAGATCAGCAACTTGTTAACATTCTGAATCTATTAAAAATAGCCTCATCGTTCATACTTCTAATAGTTTACTTCTGCAATATGCAGTTGTTTCAACAGGGGGTGCAAATTTTGACAAGCAGGCTTTTTTTTTGACACAACACCTGTTAAAACTCAGGCTCCTTCAGTCTCAGTTGTTGTGTCCCTGGCCGAAACACCCCACCGTCCTTTTCTGCCGGTGGTCCCAGGGCAGCCGTGGCTACAATAGCTCATCAACATCAGTGTGCCTAACTGTGCAGTAAAACACTTTGGGGTCCCTGACTTTGAAATGCAATAACAAGTGCTATTATATTATTATTATTATTATTATTATCATCGTCATTGTTACACGCTGCTGAAGAGCTCAGCCTATCGTTGATGGGAAACAAACCTTGCTAAACCACAGATTGGTCTGCTGCTCCTTTTTCTCCTCTTTTCCCTCCAGTTCCACCAGCAGCCCACCCTCCTGATCCTCGTCTTCTTGCTCTTCCTCCTCAAACTTTACTCTGTAAGTACAAAAAAAAAAGAAGTGACTTTTCTGTGCAAGTAAAACATTTTTATGCAGAAAAAAAACTATTACTTTTTGGATGCTTTCTTTTCCAGCACTTTCTGTCTTTGTTCCACTTCTTCCAAATCATCTTCATCTAAGTCAGATGCCAGAGACATTTTATCTGCTCCATCCTCCTCCTCCTCATCTGAAACGTGAATGTCATCTTCTCCATCTACCATGTTGTCTGCCGCCTGCATGTCCCCTTTAGTGATATCAGCCAGCACCTGACAGACAAAGGAGACAACAAAAAGGCTTTAAATTAGAATGAAACATGCAGACCAACAGATGAAAGCAGTTGTCACAAAAAAACAATAGCTGTTGTGACTCTGCATCTTCTGTTTGGTTTAACCTTTGACTTCTTCATGGATGATAGTGAAAACAAGGATGGGTCTGAGGTGCTGGCAATGGAGACACCAGGCAGGTCCATCTTCAGCTCTACTCTCTCCCTCTGCTTCCTCCTCTCCTTCAACAGCTTCTTCTTCTTCCTGATAGAGCATCAAAATCCATGCAAACTATAGAAAACGAGCAACAGCAATAAAGGTAAAAATGCATTTAGATCAAATTTGAAGAAAATATCCAACCGTTTGAGTTCAGCCACTTCTTGAGTTTTCAGCTGGGCTAGTTTTTTCTCCATTTCTTCCTCCTCATCATCCTCATCCTTATTCTCTTTGTCATCTTCCTTCTTCTTGGCCGATTCGTCCTCTGAATGACTTTGTTCTTCATCTGAACTTAAACTACAAACAAAACAACAAGTTAACATTAATCCTCTTTAAATCCTTCCATAACTATCATTTTGAGGTTCAGTTAGAATAAAAGTGTGTACTTGATCTCCTGGTCAAGCTTCTTAGCCTCCTCCTTCAGTCTCTTTGCCAGATATCTTCTAAGCTTTGTTCTCCAGTTCAACAGCAGGCTGCAAATGTGAAAATGGAAGAGAAACACAGCAAAGTTAGCATCTTCTTTGTAAGGTTTTATGTTTATTTTGAGTTAAAGCACTGAAAATGTTTGCTTAATGTGGATATTTATGTCAAAGATACTTCAAACATCAAGATTCTTGATGTTTTTGTTTCATTAAACAATAACCTTTTAGTCTTAATGCACAGATCAGCTTTAATATAAAATCCTTTATTAGTTTAGAAAGTGTCCCTTCCTTTTGGCTCACAAAAACCTAAATTGATCTTAAAATTAGCATTTGTGTGCTGAATTAAATTTGTTGAAGGTGAGACACCAGACCTCGGACAGTTGATCCCTAAAGCAAAAAGAAAGCCACCAAAAGGCTCACCGGAGCTCTTTTCGGCCCAGAACTTTGATGTCGCGACAGCACTCCTTTATTTCACTGGTAGTGGAGGAGTGGGACTCCAGGTCTGGATTATCAAAGGTGATCTACGAGAGGAAGAGTTAGGTTTACAGAAAGGACTCATCTCATGATTACTCCTCATGTTTCCTGACATTTTTGAAAGCAATATCAGTCATGAACGTTTGTATTTGTTGTGGGTTTGTTAGAAAAGTGTTGGGTTTATTTGGTGACAAATTTCAGACCATTTTCTTCTTCTCTCTTCTAACTTTCCAGGTCCATCAGGTCTATCTATTGCTAGGAGGAGAACAAGAAAAGCTTGAGCAACAGTTTTTTGAAAAGATCTCACCTCGCTGGCTTTTCCCAGAAAATCAACGGGGTTTTCTGCTTTTAGAAATGTTGTTACGGTGAAACTGTGGTAGAGCGTCAAATCACCATCTGCGTATCCCTCCGCCTGTAACACAACAGGGGCTTGGTGAGTGATGAATCTCTGGTATCTTAGCTCATAAGTTCATTAATAGTCACATAATCCACCCAAATATCATGATCAAACTCATTATCTCAAAGGTGTTGAACACTTGTTTAATCAATACATTTGCAGTGGTCTACAATAGCTTGAGTCGTACTCTGGAAGGCGAAAACTATACCGGTGCACCATTTTCATTTACCATCATCATTCACTCTGAGAGGCGCTACACAAGTGCGGGTTATTTATCATTTTCAGGAACTAGAAGTTACCCACATCACAGCTGAGCTTCAGATGGCAGGTTTTGGAGTCTTCCTTCCTGATATTTGAACATCTCACCTCAGACTGGATGACAGCAACGCGGCTTTACCAATCACTGTTTGCTCTGCAACGTTGATGTTTTATCTCCACAAAATAACACAAGGCTGGAGGAACTTCTGCCACGTGGTGGAGTTGCTAATGCTAAGCATTAGCTTCTATTAGCCAAGACGTTCTATGCGGATTCCTGGATGTTACAACCACCTTCCCAGTCGTGAGTCAAGATGGATGAGTTCATGATTGTTGAGTGACGTAGATCTGTCAGGCTTTTCTAATCCTAGAGTTTCACCATCTATTTTCTATCAGAAGCTAATGCAGCAGATAGGTGTAGGAGACTATTATGTTCAGCCTGCATGAAAAGCTCAGAGTGAACAATTATAATCAGAAATAATCATTAAAAGATTTTCAGTGATCCACACCTTTAAGATTATACCATATAGCATTCCTATTGTAAACATATAGTTAACTTGAATGCATTCGGAGTAAACACCCGTTTCCTGTGGACTCGCCTTTGGCTTCTTATCGGGAACCAGCTCCTTCACAGTTTTGGCCTGCACCTCCACCTCTTTGAATGCATGTTTGGGGTCAAAGAACTTGTTGTCGATTTTGTCTGGAGCAACAAATCCTGGTCATGACAATGAAAAAAAAAAGTTTAGAACTGATCTACATTGGTGTTTATGAAGCAAAACTCCCCTTTAAGTCATTAAAACGACTCTGCTCCAACCCCCCGCTTTGCTCTTAATTGATTCTGTCGACAATTTCAAGAGTGAACTTAAGACCAATTTATTTGTTCAGACAGTGAGTACGTTTACATGCAGCCAATATCCGGGTTATGATCAGGTTAAGGTCGGGATTCGGGTTTCTGAGTTGATCAGAATAACCCGTTTACAAGCATAAATAGAAAGAGTTACCTCTAACTTGCATAACCCGATTTAAAAGCGGACGTTGGGGTAGCGTCAGGACGTATGGACTACGTCCAGACGCAATATGCGTCATTTCCGGTTCTTCTTGTTCCGGTATCCGTGAAAACAACAACATGTTTCCCAGTTCGGAAGAGATAGCGACCGCGTTTGTTTGCGCTTTAGTTTCCTCGTCACTCCAAAAGTGTGGTGCTGTGCCGCAACTCGCCATTTTGCCCCCAACTTGTTGTTTACTTCCGGTGTTCTGGCGCATACAAGACGTCTCGCTACTCAAAAGACCAAGATTCCTTGCGAACAGAGCATGTGCAGAACACACGCTTTGATGGGGATATCTCGATATGCGTTTACACGACCAAACATTCGGGTTAGAAAAGAGTTACCCCAGGTGTAGTAACAGGGTTTTAAAAAACCCGGTTATGAGCATATCCGGGTTTTTGGCGGTGTTTACAAGGACCTGCGGAACCGGGTTATTGTGAATATTCGGGTTTTAAAAGGGTTACTGGCTGCATGTAAACTCACTCATTAAACTAGTTATTTGTGGGTAGTTATGATTTCTGTGCGGTCTTTAGGGCTGTCGCGGTAACCGCAAAAATGAAATATCGCAATATGAAGAAGCCCACCGCGCTGCATCATGGGCCACCGCGATTACTGAACTTGGTTCAACTCAATGATGCATGTTGAGAAGGATGGCTGCACTGGTATCAAAACGAAACGTTACTTCGCTCCTTTGGGAGCGCTTTGGTTTTCAGTACGTCAGCTGCTGCGCAGCCAGAGTCCTTGGCCGAGACAGAGCTGCCACCAGCGGCAAAAAATAAATAAATAATAAACGCTCGGAGACCTCCTGAAGTCCCGGACAAGCACTGCTTCTGCAACCGTCCCGAAGAGAGTTTGAGCCGAGCTGGAGCTCACTCGCTACCTGCAGGAGGAATGCATCCACCCTAAAGAACCCCCCTGACATGGTGGAGCAACAACCGGGAGAGATTCCCTTTGCTCGCCAGAGTCGCACGCAAGTTGAGTTCGGAAGCGAGCGGGGCCGGACCGGAGCGGAGGGGAGCGGAGGTAGTGGAATTTGGGGTAAGTGCAACGAGCGCACCATCCGAGAGGGTTTTCAGTGTTGCTGGAAATGTTGCCACCCCTCTCAGATCCTCTCTCAAACCGTATATGGTTAACATGCTGGTTTTCCTTGTATGTAACAAGGACGTGACCGAGCTATAAATCACCGTCATTCGTGTGTGTGAAAGTGAAATGATAGTGCGCCCGCCCCCCGGCGCGCGCGCGCCCGGTACATGCAATTTTTTATGCTTGATTTTAAACAACTAAACAAAATGGGGACTTGATTCTTCTTTGTTAGATGCTGCAGCCAAATTTGCATTTAAAAGTTTAACCTTCTCCTGAATTTTGTTGTTTTTAAGTTCAGTCGGATTCCGACTGTCGGACAAACAAACGTTACTGCGATCTGTGTTGTTACTGCCCTTTGATCTGCATTCAGTAAAGCGTTATAAAAGAAGGCATGGCAATTTTTAACCTTTTTTAAATGTGTAAACATTATGTTTAGATAGTACTGCAATAAAAAAAGGACTGCAATAATATCGCATACTGCAATATTAAGCCACCCTGAATCACCGCAGGGGGAATTCCTCAACCGCGACAGCCCTAGTGGTCTTGGCCTTTTATGCCGTGTTTTATTCTCTGTTTTTATTACTACTTATTGTACATTTATATATATTTACTATGTTATGAAGCACTTTGTGGTTTTTGCCTGTGAAAGGTGCTATACAAATAAAGATTACGAACTTACTTACCTTGACAAACAACAAAGATCTCAGCAGACTCGTTTCTTGAAGCTTGGGGTTTAGTGGCCTGCACCTTCTTAAAGAACTGCTGGAAGATCCAGAACAGAGGCTGATAGTCTTTAGAACGGAACACTTTTGTGATAAAAGTTCCTCCTTTGTTCAAAAAGTCACAGGCCAACTTCAAGGCCATGAGTGTCAGGTGGGCTGAGGAGAAAGACAAGACATATTGGAAAACGAGATAAAAATAAGGAAAATCAAAACGAGATAAGGTAATATATTTACTAAATTACTTAAAAAAAAGATGGCAAGGACATTACTTTTTAAAAAATCCCATTCATGCAGAATATTCACATTTGGTCAAGTGTCTTACCCTGAGAAAAGGCATCATGTTGCCAGTTTGCTCCCACATTTGGGGCTCCGTCGTTTAACACAACATCTACCTTCCAAGTTTGAAGCTCCTTTCGAAGAGCCTGTTTACAGAACAGAAGGCGTCTCAAACACCAACTTCTGCCGTTTCACTAGGTTTTAGTAAAACCACAGCAGCAACATCCCTACCTGTCTGCATTTCTCAGTCGTGATGTCTTCTTGCAGCGTCACCACGTTGGGAATGGGCTTAATGGGGACCAAGTCAACACCTGAGAGGAAAAACGCAACACCTCATCAAAGACAGCACAATCTTACTTCTAAATATCCACTTTGAAAGATCAAAACTCACCGATGATGAGACTTGAGACGGGCATAAATTTCGATGCTACTTGCAACCTGGAGATCAGATTAATGACGACAAGTCATTAATTTATTTAGATTCCCATTTGTAACCTTTTTAAATGCCACACACGCCTGCTATTGGCTCTTTGCATGTGACATCACACCGTTTATGGGAACCCCTACGTCCTCACGACAGAAGTGAAAGGAACTATTTGCACAAGTTAAAACGCGTACAGCTTGTCCTAAACAAGTCATGCAGCGTGGTTGGCTGCACTGACAGACAACCCAACTTATTTTTGTTTTCATAGAGACAGAAGACGTGGATGAACAACTATCAATCAAAAGAACACAAAGAATGGGTAGACTTGCAGTAACGCTTTTTATCGGGTAAAATTAACAATTGTACATTTTGTGAGCAACACAGGAATCTGATATGACATGTTTATTTCACTAAGGGAAGTGAGCATTTCTGACCACCATAGTAAATTACAAGATGCTAATACAATAACTAAAATGTGGAAAAATCACTTTTATTTAACGCGACAAGCTTCAATCAGTGTGAGAATAGCACCTGGACCCAGTAACCCTGGTTTCACACTGGAAGTATCGGCAGTGTGAAACGGCAGCGGAACGATTTACTCGCAAACTTCAAAGCGGTCCTTTTCACACTGGAAGAGTCTTGGCAGTGGCACGGCTTCCTCACTGTGCTCTTCACTGGACTCAAGATCACAAGATTCCTTGAGACATCAGGTCACATTTGTTTATGCAATCCACCATTCAACCAAAAAGAAGGAAACCACAGTTGATATCGCTGTTTGACGTCATATATGATGTTGTTTCTCTCCACTGCCAGGAATAAAGCCATGAAAAACACACCGCTGCACTTCTGGTACGACGCTGTGAGTAAATAAGCCACTGGATCACACGTAAGCTTCATATATATGAATTAGCATTCGCTGCAGTACTTTTATTTAGAAAATTATTGGGGATTTTACACTGAAACAGTATGTGATTTCCTGTCTAGCCCAATGTTCACTGCGGAAATTGACGTATCCCAGAAGCGGCTCGCAGCAAAAATAGAACCCGATCCTATCTTTAGAGGTGCGGCGTGCCGCTTCTGGGTCACACCTGGAAATTGCAGCGTCGCTGCTGGTTTGAAACAGTCTATAGACTATCATTTGAAGCAGTGACTTTCCGCTTCCGTTCCGCGCCTCTGATGCTTTCAGTGTGAAACCGGGGTGAGCCAGCCAGCAGCAGAAATCTGATGGGGATGCAGACCTTTGCAGGTGATACAAGGGGACTGGGCTTGAACTAGTAGAAGCCTTCCTAAATTGGCGAAAAAAAAAAAAACTGGATGCCACTTTTCCCCACCATCCAGTACTCCAGTAACTCACTGTGGTCAGGTGGCATAGGTGCAAAGGGCTGATGAGCTCTAGTATGAGCTAGGGTTGTCATGGTAACCGGTGTAGCGGTAAACCCCGGTAAAAAAAAGTTGAAAATAATAATAATCGTCTTGTTTTTAAAAAAACTATATTATCTCGGTGGGTTTACCATGGCTGCGGTGTAGGCGCGGTGACCCTTACCAGCCACCGTATCATCTGCTGAAGTTGCCGGCGGTACGTGCGCACTTTGTTGTTTACAACCAAAACTTTTTTTAAGCTAAAGCTGAAATAATTGCCAAAGGAGGAGACGGCAGTGCTCAGGACATTTATTATCCCTCAAAGAAGACAAAGTGGGAAGTACAGGCATTTTGTGGATATTTGAAGAATGCCGAGGGACAGTTGATAGAAGACGGCTATTCTTTTTGCAGCATGTGCAGAAAAAAGTGTCTGTGAAAGGCAGAAACGCCTCAAATCTCATGACACATCTGCGTGACCATCACCCGCAACTCTATAGTAAACGCAAGGCAAGTTAACGTTGGCGTTTTAGCTAAAATGCGTGATCCGAGGATTTGGGTTGAGGGAGAATGCAACGAGTCGCTATATAAAGCAGCTGCAGTGCCGCTACCTGCATATAAACCGTGTCATGGACACCCCCATGTTGAAATGACGCTATGCATTACGGGGCTCCCAGGGGCAGATAAGAGTTGGTCTCTCCCCGAGAATAATTATGAATTTAACAATGATTACTGCCTGATGACATTTTCCCACATCTGCAAAGCTCATTGGAAGGACACAAACCGAGGACAATATTTTCCTGATATAGGGTTTGTTACTCAAGTAAGGGTAAAAAAGTATCTGATTAGAAGGCTACTTGAGTACTGAGTATCATCTGATCTAATATTTTTAAATGATGACATCAAACAGACAAAAAATAAGAAGTTATGGGCAAATATTGGTATTTTAAAGACTAAAGGGGAAAAATGTAAACAAATAAACAACATAATTACAAAGTAACAAATTTTAGGCAAAATTTAGACACAAACTGAGGACAATATTTTCCTGATATACAGGGTTTATTTAGTTGTCTGAAACTGTAACACGTTTAAAAGAAATACCACGATAATACCGAAAACCGTGATAATTTTGGTCACAATAACCGTGCGGTAAAATTTTCACACCGTGACAACCCTAGTATGAGCGTCAGCCTGACGAAGTTTGCAGCCGCAAACGAAACGTCGCAGGTAAATAAAACCTTTCTGTGTTTAAAAAGAACTAAAAGATGGAGCTCTAGGTGTGTTAAAATGTGCATAGTTTAGATGAAAGTTAGAATGCTCCTCACCATCCTCCTGGAGCAGCACAGAGGTCAACCAGAGCTCTGGCTTTCTGTAAGAACTGGAACTTACGATTCAGCTGGATGAGTTTGAAGGATGAACGAGAACGATAACCTGCAAGACAAAAGTAAGGAAAAAACATTTATATCTAACAGGCTAACACAGAAGCTGCTGTTGAGTCAACAGCACTAAGGGGTTTCATTTATATTTTACAAGAAGATGTTACAATATAGTGAGTTAAAAAAGACTGAACAAACTTTAGATGTTGCTGGTGTGTTTTAGCAGGTTGCTGTTGCGTATTTTATTATTACATCACTGTTATGCATTTTTCAGTAGAATCTGTCTTTCTATTCTAAAGGTGTATTTATTTTTACGTACATGTAAATGTGTACATCCCTATAAAACATTATCAACTGATATTTCGTTTTTTTGCCCATTTTGTATATTTAACTCTTGGTCAGTTTATTGGTATTTTTATTAATCTTGTTAAAATGTTTGATTTTTAACACTGAGCAGTGCACAAAATTAAGATTTAACAGTTGTTTAAATTCAGTGTTTAAATACTGATTAGGTTCAGAAATCTTGTGCATTCACATTTGTTATTAGTGATAATTAAGCAATCTGATAAAGTGCCAAACATCAAGACATCGGCCATGAAATTGGTAGCACTTATCTGCTATTGGCTGACTATGACCCCCTCACATTGGTATCGGCAATAGAAAAACCCATATCGGTTGACCTCTACTTCTCTCCCACCTTTCCCTATAAATCCTCCTCCCCATCCCTGTGAAACCCAGAAACCTCAACACTGCCCCAATGCACTCATCACTTGCCTCATCCCTTAAAATGTCTCTGTCTCCTCTCCCACCTTATACCTTTCACATTGTCAGCAGCGCGCACTCCTGTTCCCCATTAATCACACTCCCCTGTTTGAGGCTTCCCCCAAAACAGCAATGTGCTGTTCAACCCCATCTGACCCAACCTCAATCTGGTTATTATAACCCCTTCTTTTCTTCTCCAACTGTCTGCCTTATGGGGCGACAGAGATAGAGGACTGAAATGCCTGACCCATGACTGGAGGGCTGCAGGATTGTGTCCCATTTGATCTGTTGCAGTTGTACTCTTCACCCTTATTGCCTGCTGGTGGTCACACCCTCATTGCCTGCTGGTGGTCAGAGGGATTGGTGGGAGCCTCGCATTGGTCGTACCCCAAGGCAGCTGTGCCTACAGTGTAGCTTATCACCACCAGTGTGAATGGGTGAATGATTCTGTTTTGTGACTCGCTTTGGAGTCCAGACTCAGAAAAGGGTCTGTAAGGGTCATTTATGCCAAGCCAACTGCACCTTACATCAGTATAGAACTTACCAAAGTGCTTCACATAAATAAAATACATTAAAGCAATACACAACATAAAAATGCATAACAACTCATTATTTATGTACCTCTCCCACACCTCTGTATTTCATACCGTCTTGTTCTTAGACTCCTCCCACCTTTTCTTCACTACCTGTTTTAGGTAATTATTATTATACTCTATAAACTGAGGCCGTCTCGCTGGCCCTTTATCTACCACCTCATTACCTGAATATCCTAGCACCCACAAAAAGCTGAAAAACCTGTCTGCTACCACACCGGCCTGCTGTCCCCATGCTTTACTGCATACGAGTCCGAGCATACGACAATCCTTGACGGCCGGTTTTCTTCCACCAATTAAACCACCAGGAAAAATGCTACCATTTCCCACGTATACGCAGACAATCGCGTACTAAAAGCGTCCTTACGGTCTTCATTTGAAACACGCTACCCCATTTGCCGTAGCTAATGCTAACGTCGACCAAAGGGCTGAACCAGCGACTGTAAAAAGGGCTGAGCTAACGCTACGCATGATGATTTCAGTCATCGGTACCTACCGGTTTCTTTTGCCAAATGGTAAAATTTATCCTTCCTGGTCTTCCCGACTTTTAGCTTCTTCCCCATGTTTTGTCTGAACAGTTCACGCTCAAGAACAACTACACGTGTGCGTGTGTCGCGTATGTTTTACGTCACATGACTCCCATCGTCAGCAGAAGTCTTTTCCTCTTCCAGTCGACTTGTGGTCCCCACGCGACGCCTCGTGGACTGGCGCTGTCTGCTCCATAGATATGTATATAGACCACATAATAAATAATAATTATTATCTGCTCTACTCGAACAAGGCCGCTGAGGCAGGTGTTACGTCGATATGAGTCCCCCCCCCCCCCCCCCCCCCGTCGAGATCTGCTTCTTTCCCCACGCAACTGCAAGTTTGAACCCTAAAACCCTAACATAAAAATCATGTTACACAGAGTAATTTCATACGTTATAATTATGCTAAACATAAATTTTGGGTCATAGGGTGGTGATGGTTAGGGTGAGGGTTATTTTTTGTGAGTGGATGGTTCCAATGCACAGCTGGGTGGAAAAGAAACAGATATCGACTGATCTCGTATATGTCGATGATCTCGACAGGAGAACTCATATCACTACTACCTGCCGCCATCTTGAATGGGTCTCCATTCGCCCACAGTTCATTTATTTCTACTGAGGAATATGTTTACCCAACAAACAAACAAAAAGAAGACACATCTGCTTTTTGACTGTCTGTCACATAATTTAAGATTTATTTCCTTGTAAACATTCGTAATTGTGTGTGTGTGTGTGTGTGTGTGTGTGTGTGTGTGTGTGTGTGTGTGTGTGTGTGTGTGTGTGTGTCATACTGAGGACCATTTTCTCTACAATGTGAGGACATTTTTTTTTGGTCCTCACTTTTTTTTAGAAGATCATAATACCAGTTAGATGTTTATTGTGAATTAAGTTTTAGTTAAGGATAGGGTTAGGAATAGATCAGCGTTGGTTATGGTTAGGGTATGGGTATGGGTTAGGCATAGTGAAATCACAAAAATGAATGGAAGTCAATGGCAGGTCCTCACTATGATAGGAAGACAGACGTGTGTGTGTTCTGCATCCATCCATTGTCACCTGCTTATCCGGAGTCGGGTCGCGGGGGCAGTAGCCTAAGGCGAGAGGCCCAGACTTCCCTCTCCCCAGCCACTTGGGCCAGCTCCTCCGGGGACCTCAACTGGCCAGGTGAGAGACATAGTCCCTCCAACGTGTCCTGGGTCTACCTTTAGGTCTCCTCCCGGTTGGATGTGCCTGGAAAACCTCACCAGGGAGGCGTCCAGGAGGCATCCTGACCAGAAGCCCGAGCCACCTCAACTGGCTCCTCTCGGTGTGGAGGAGCAGCGGGTCTACTTCGAGCCCCACCCGGATGACTGAGCATCTCACCCTATCTCTAAGGCTGAGCCCAGCCACTCTTCAGAGAAAACTCATTTTGGCCGCTTGTATCCGCGATCTCGTTCTTTCGGTCACTACCCAAAGCTCATGACCATAGGTGAGGGTAGGAACGTAGATCGACCGGTAAATTGAGAGCTTTGCCTTCTGACTCAGCTCTCTCTTCACCATGATAGACCAGTATAATGCCCGCTCACTGCAGATGCAGCACAGATCCATCTATAGATCTCACGCTCCAGTTTTCCCTCACTCGTGAACAAGACCCAGAGAGTTTCTTCTTCTGGCTCTTGGACAGTACAGAGGCTTTTTTTCCTCCTCTCCTCCCTATCTTATCCCCAAGGCTCTTTATCCGTCTTCGGGTGTACGGCACTTCTGCATTTTTTCTGGAAACTGGAAATTATTAAAAATGGACCTGTTCAGCTGGTCTCTCAATGCGATTGACAAAATTTTCTCAACGATGAGAACGGGAGAAGGGGCTCCCGGGTGCCCCTCTGGGACAGGTCGGTTGGGCATATCATGGACTCCTGGAAACAGTGGAACCTGATCTGCTTATCTCAACTGTCTGTAGAGGATTCTGAAGACGTCTGGATATTCGTGGTGTTTGTGTCAGGTTTCCTGCTTTTTGGCCTGGGAGGTTACCTGGCTTACCGGAAAATTAATGAGCTGTTGAGGAATATTGCCTCTTTCCCGGAGCTCAGAGATGGATTACACCGCGCTGTGAATGCACAGACTCATTTAATTGTCGAGGTGAGTCGTAAGCTTGGAACTTTGGCTGAGATTCAGGCTCTGGCACAAAAGATGGATGCGATCAAGGAGCGAGTGGATGAATCAGCACGGATTGGGATAGATTAATTTACGCCATTATTGGATTTTGAGAGGTTGAGGACCTTCGGAACTTTAAGATATAGAAGAAATTATCTCTGTCTGGCCCCCAAACAATTTCTTATCTGAATCTGGTGCCCTTGAGCCTGTGAGCCTGAAATGAATACTCCCCCTCAGAAGAAATGTGGAATGCTGCCGTCGCCATGGCAACTCTGTTTCCCTATCCCAGCCTGGGCGGGACTGCAAGCTGTGAAGGCCGCTGAATCGTTCCAGGACTCACTGTGCCCTCTAAACCCAACGACCTCCTCCTCCTGTCCAGACGGAGGTGACGAGCATTGCTTGTCATGGCTGCATGTACTGACGTGTGGAGAGGTCAGCAGATCTCCGTCCCCACTATAGATAGTGTTGGTAGCACACTGCTTTCCCCCTGAGGTGCCGGATGGTGGACCAGAATCTCCTCGAAGCCGTACGGAAGTCTTGCTCCATGGTCTCACCGAACTCCTCCCACGCTCGGGTTTTTGCCTCGGCGACCACCCGAGCTGTGTTCCGCTTGGACCGCCGGTACCCGTCAGCTGCCTCTGGAGTCCCACAGGCCAAAAGGACCCGATAGGACTCTTTCTGTGTTCTTTTTATAAATCCCAGTTTTTGCGTGGAAAGTTGCTTACGCAGTTTTCTGACCCCATTTTGTGCATAAGCAAGCTGTATAAATGAGACCCCTGGGGTCTCATATGTGACGTCACAGCAGAACCTCTTCTCCCCCCACAGTTTCCACATGGCCAGATTTATGGTGGTTTTCTCCACGTTTAATGCTCCGTCTTTCGTCCTGCAAGAAGAATGTAAAACTTGTTAAACTCACAGCCATTTCTTTTTCTCCTTGTTCGGTTTGATGACGTAAATTTGAACGAGCAGTTGGAGTCCCATACAAAAATTCAAACAAAACCTAAAGTAACTTACTGACTGTTGAAAATAAGCGCTTTCTTAGCATAAAATGTGTCTTTAATCGCATATCAAATGGGATCAGAAAACAATTTTAATTGGCCCATAGACTCCCATTCATTATTTTGTAGTAGGGGACCCATGGAAGTAAAGTAGTAGAAAATAAAACAGTATTGTGTAAAGTTTGTTGAGTGAATTTGTTTTTTAATGTAACAGAAATTCCTATGTTAGAGTGTGCTCACACACACAGGATTTGGGATGTTCATGGGGTCTTATTAAATGAAGTCAGTATGAAAATTATACAAATATAATTCATAAAGTAACACAATCTTTTGTATGTGAAGTAGTTTTTATTGTATTTTTGCATGAATGGTCATGACATTCATGGGAATGTTGAGAGACAACAGCCTTCGTTGAATATCCCAGATTTCAGAAAGGCCTGTTTCTAGACCGCGTGTTGATCAGTCCCAAGACAGAGAAGGCACCGGCGGCTGCCGACACCAAACTGATGGCTCCAATGGCCCGTGAAGCCTGTAGAGACAGGGAGGACAGGACATGGGCCAAGGATTATTAAACAGGAACAACTGAGGTCAACGCTCCGAGCACTCCAACAAGTGACAAAGGAAATGTGTGTTGAGACCTGCTCAGACACCCCCTCTCCATAGCGTAGAAGTGTAACAAAGTGTTCGCAGTTGCTCCCCAGCAAATCATAGGACACTTCCTGGTCAATGAGGACTTGAGCTCGCTGGATGATCTCACAGACAGGCAGCGGTGTGTGATTGTCATCATACTTGTTGTTGATACGGTACGAGTCATTTCCCACCACTTCCTTCAGAAGCTGCATTCGCACCACAGCCTTCCTGCTGAAAACGGACTTCACGCTGGACATGGCGGCTGCTTGGCTCTCATCTGTGGGAGGGGGAAAATTTTTTAGAACATAAAGAAAAAGATTAGGATGTTTTGGTGTTTAAAAAAATAAAGACAACAATACGTAGGTAAAAGAAAACCAAAAACTAGGTAAAAGCGAAACAAAAAGTAGGTCAAAGAGAAACAAAAAACTAGATAAAAAGTCAATAAAATACTACTGACAATAATAAAATTCAATGTCCAAACAACTTTTTTGCAGCAGCATAAAGTATTAACAAGATATTTAGGGTAAAATCCAAAATTTACTGTAAAAATAACTCTAAATAACTCTCAAAATAACTGTGAAATCTACCTTTTAATGATAAATATTAATGTTCTCACTATCATATTTGTATTGACAGCTGGAGGAAATTAGGAGTTTTAATTAACTTCAGCGCATCGATAACCAACCTTTGTGAAGCTGAACGCTACTTCATGGATACTGAGCCATACAAAGGAGATTAATACAATACTGACATAGACCGGAGTTAAACTAACTTCATGTATAATAAACACATTTTATTGTTTTAAAGAAAATTGTAGTTTTTAAATCTATAATAACACATTTATGACTTTAAAAGATAGCAGCAGCTTTTTTTTTATAATTTATTAAAGACTTGCTGTGGTATTTGGAGAAAAGGCATGTGGACTCCAGTTCCTGGGGGCACCATGGTGCCCACGGGGAACAGGTTAGTGAACCCTGCTTTAGAGCAACTTTGGGTTTGCCATATCTACTGACCAACAGGAGTTAGGTTGACGATGTAACCATCTCCCAGGTAGAGAGCCCAGTGCTGATAGGCTGGTCTGAAAATCTCAATGAGGTCACCAGGCTGGGGGTCACCAGAGGTGTTAGGGGGGTCAGGGTCATTAGAGGCCATCTGACAGAGAGAGAGCAAGAAAAATGGTTAAAGTGACAGCTGTGTGTTCATTAACAAAATGTGTCTGACATTTACAAGTTACTAAAGGTGCATTAGGTAGAAATGAAGTAAAAATAACATCCTGTGGTAAATTTTGGTTACTCCAACCACTTTAAACAACTCTGGAGCTTTTTCCCAGCCGTCGTCAAATTACAAATATCAACGCTGCAGTATCAGCTCACAGGAGACATGGCAAAGCCACACTCATTGATGGTAAACAATAATAGGAAAATCCCTGCAGCCAGCTGGATATGAAATGCGTTTCAGTATGACCTTCCTTCCAAAACGACATTAGACTCGTGAGATTTTCACACTGTAAAATCCTCTCTATATGCTTACATACAGCACCTTTAAAATGACAAGAGTAAAAATCCTGAAAGGATAAACAGGCAAAGTAAATGTGTCATTGTAATTTATTTTTATTTAAAATGATGTTTATTTTAGGTTTGTGAAGCTGACAGCTGAGTTATAAATAACTTACATATTTAAATACACTTTCAATCAACACATGCTGAAGCTTTCAGGCCATCAGCTGACTTACAGTAGAGTTTCGTTGTTGATTATCCATCCCACATCATGCTTCCGCAAACTCTATAAGCAAAAGACAAACAGGTCTTTATGTCAACTTCAAAACTATGTTACAGAATGACACTGACTACTGACAGATCAGCAACTCTCAAATCAAGGGCTAAAAAGTTTCCAGTTTAATGTGCGGATTCAAAAGTGAGAAAAGATTAAAAAAATTCTAAGAGAGCGCTAGATCGGAAGGTGCATAATGGTCAGCCATACCTACACATGCATACAAAACACACAGACAATACACACACACAAGCTTCTGTGTCACCTTTGTTGCCACAATAGCAGCAACACAATGCAGAAACTGAAAGAAATTTGTTAGAATTCAGGTTATTTTCGTTCCTATTTTTTCTTGACAGATAAAATAAGTAAATGGTTGAAAGTTTTGTGACTTAGATGAATCCAGAGTTTAGTTTTGATCAAATTAAACTTAAGTGGCATGAAATTTATATGTGTCCAGGGGAGCTGTGAGTATGTCCATCCCATTATTAATGTATGAAAGCCACATTAAAAGCCATACATTATTGAATGAAACATAACTCTATCAGCAGCTGTTTTAACAACAAAAAACACACAATTATGTAGCAACTATTATGTATTAGTGATGTAAGAAATATGTAAACAACTGAGGTTATGAGCTGATTTCCACACAGAGTAAAAAAAAATACTTACTCAAACATCAGCAGTTTTTTCTTCCTCACCATTTTAATTCTCCATCGTAAATTTGCTCAAAACTTTTCAGAAAAATCCAAGAAGAAAAGAGAAGAACAGCAGTGATGGCAAGTTTTTGAGAGAACAACTAGGTGTTGAGTTTATCAGCGCTAAACAGGAGGCTGGAGTTAGTTCAGTGTTCACCGCTCAAAATGATTGTGGTTTCTGCCACAGCTGCCACGCACACACACATACACGCACGCACGCACGCACGCGCACACACACTCACACACACACTTAGTCAAGCCCTTTGTAAAGTGTCACAACATTAACTAAATCAATACAATGACAAATGACATATGTATTTAGTTAAGGATGCATGAAAAACAAATTTGGAATAGACACCCCTTTTTAATTGTAGATACCGGTTTATTCTAATTTTATTAAAACAAAAGCCGTCGTTTTCAAAATTACATACAGTTTGCATATAATGTTGGAAATAAAGTTTTGAATATCACTTTTACTTAGCAGTATTTTTGTTTGAATGAAGATATATTATTATCTTTCTGAATCTGAAAAAGTGCCACATGTTTTTTAGATTGAATATAAAATTTGAATCACAGGTCATGTTTTCAGCAGGGTGGGGAAATAGCCTTACTTCATCAGTCATTTTTTTAAAGTTAGCACTTTGTTATTTTTAAAATAAATCTTTTTAACATAAAAACATGGAGATTTAATCTAATGGAAGAGCATCACATTAGAGTGTTGTTACAAGTATTGTCCAGGGCGTGGCGATAGCATGCCCTTTTGCCGTAATGCCAACCCGGTGTCTGACAACACGAAGAAGATGTAGTAACTTGCAGGTTACAAACAGAAGGTTAACCAGGCTGACAGCTGTTCTTTAACAAGTTGACGGCTCCTGAAGAGTCAGCACGGTTTAATATTATTTGTGTTATGTGAAGGGTACAGTGGTTTTACCAGGACTGTGGTAAGATAAAAACAACACTTTGTTCTAAAGCTAGCATAGACCGCGTTACGGCTACTGAACTAGCTTAACTTGCTTGCTTGAAAGCATCTCGTAGCCGCTTATTAAATACGTAACCATTGTTTTCACTTTCTGAGAAAAGCTAAACATTTAAAGTGTCATATTTATTTTTTCTATCTATTTTTCTTTCCTTCAGATGATTGTTGCGTCATTAGACAAAACCCTATAATATAGGTAGTCACAGTGAACCAGGGTTTATTTTCATAGACTGCTGTTAAAAACGTCGCTGTCCTGTTTTCTGTCCTTGTTGCCGCAGAATGAGCACCATGGCTTCAGCCCCTCCACTCAGGCGGACAGATTCCGCTTTTGGGGAGTTTTCTCCGCTTAAGCACTTTGTTGTCGCTAAGAAAAAGATCAGCGACGTGTTTGAACAACTTCTCAGCTACGTGAAGGAGACTTCAGAGTTTGTAGAAGGTAAGAAGGTGATTTTCCGTGTCAGTCGGTGCTTTTATAGTGAGGGCCTCGTTAAATGTGAATGATAAAACTGTTGTGTTTTTCCAGGCTTTTGTGTTTTGATTTTATTGTGCTTTTTTTTTACGTCTAATGACATAAATGTGATTAATGTTGTCTGTGAAAGGCACTTCATATAGACTTACACTATCAGTGTGATTTGTTCTATGTGCTGACAGACATCCATGGGAACATAGCTTTGGGGAACATCGCTACAAAAGATCAGATGATGGAGATTCAGGCGTATGCTGATAAACTCTCTGTTATAAAGGAGGTGCTAGCTCGCAGACACATGAAGGTGGCCTTTTTTGGCAGGTAAATCCATCATTATTTAACTGAAAATTGCACTCTTATGCATTCTTCATGCCTGATCTAAAAGTCAATGTAACTGAAAGTGCCCCTCCCTACTTGCTTTTGCTTTCACATTTATCCTGGTAACTCGACCTGTTACAGAAGCTTCCTGCATCACTTCTGTGCTCTTAAGATAATCTGTTTGCATTTTTATTGGTTATAATTACTGTATTTTTAAAAATAAAAGGTAAACCTTTTTAATATCACTGCTAGGATAAACATTACCTTTGAAGTCCAAGTCAGTTATATGTTTGCTCAAAGTGGTGCTGATAGCAACATTATTTTTTTCTGCTTGTTAAAGGTATGGATGTTTCTAAATTTCTGGAGAGATCCGTCCTCTCCACCTTTTGAAAAAAAAAATGCTCATGAGAACGCCCAGTTATCTCTGTACATACTCTGTTTACAAATAACTGCCGGCCTTGCAGCCAACTTTTTCTAGCAGTAATCTGAAGTGAATATCTCCAAATAGCATGCCAAACTTTAGCTTACCTGTTGAACAGAAAACTGCCAACAGATCAGAACCATGTACAAAGCAATGTTTGCTTTGTACATGCGCAGGAAGTGAAAACTACCCAGCAACAAGCTCTTACGGTGACGGCCTTGTGTGAATGGTTCACCAGAGGGAATGACAGTTATGCGGACCAATGGTTCAAATGATCCACCTTTAAGTTAAGCCATCCATTAGAATAAAGAAAGCCTCAGGGTTTTGCGTTAGAAAAGTTAAATTAACACTTTCCACATGTGCTATGAAACCAGAAACTAACACATGCCTGGTTCTACTGTTTTACACAAGTGTGCAGCTTCAGAGTGTGTTTTGTGTCCTGTTAGGACCAGTAACGGTAAAAGCACAGTGGTCAACGCCATGCTGAGGGATCGCGTGCTACCCAGTGGGATTGGCCACACCACCAACTGCTTCCTGAGTGTGGAGGGTACCGATAACGACAAGGCCTACCTCAAGACGGAGGGCTCTGAAGAGGAGAAGAGCATTAAGGTAAAACCACTTTAGCCTTTATTCTAGTGTCTGTCTGATTGTGTGTGTTATCTATAATCCATGTGCCAACATACGCCGATGCTTCTAAAAAAAACTTTGGGTGGTAAGATGCCTACCGCCTCCTAGTACTAAGTCTACTTTGTTATCTTCATGTGTTGGACCAAAGAAATTCTTACTGGTAAAAGAGTGAAACAAGCGGATAGTGAGTGTGTGAGCTGTGATGGTGTGTGGGATAAAAACCTGTCAGAAACTTTACTTTTCTTCTTCGTAACTTTTGTCTTAAAAAATAAACACCGTTTGCATGTTTTTATCAGCTGAAGTGAAGTGCACTTTAAAAAGTTACCTGTTGTTTATTCTTGTATTTTTAATAATCAGGTGTTCCTATTTAAGCATCATTAAGTGCCTAAAATATATGAATTATTACCTATTTACATTTGACCAGATTTGATACAAGAGAAACCTTTTATGTTCACAAAATAAAGTTAATTATGAATGATTTAATTGGTAATGAATGGTTTCAGTGTGTTTATTTGTAATAGGGTTACAGTAAACCTTGCTAATGCCTCTGCAGACTGTAAACCAGCTGGCTCACGCGCTTCACATGGATAAAAGTCTGGACGCCGGCTGTCTGGTCCGTGTCTTCTGGCCAAAAACGAAGTGCGCTTTGCTCCGAGATGATCTGGTCCTTGTCGACAGGTGATGAGAACACCCAAATATCACATCTGAAAAGAAAACCGGCTTTGATTTGTTAACTCATTCACTGCCAGCCGTTTCCTGATCACTAACGGCCTTCGCTGCCAGCGTTTCTCACCGTTTTTACTGTTTTTTTAAGAGTCACAGAACGTTGTGCGCTAGCATGATGTCGATGCCAAAGCAACCAAAACAAAGAGGAGACTCACCTCTTACATCAGGAAGAAGCCGCGTGTTTCGAGCGTTATCCATTCTTTCATAATCCGTTGTCCAATTGTGATCAGCAGATGCTTTTCCGGTTCGCGCCTCACTTTTTTTACAGGAACGGCCCAAAACGATCTCCTAACACATGGATGTGTTGCTTCCTGATCATGTGATCTGTGACGTATGTGGATGAAGATCGGCTTCAGGGCTGAGATGTTTGTTCTCTCAGCGCGGGGGCTCGTTCCGATGCTCAAACAGTAAAAAAATGCAAATGACGACTTTAGTCGTCATTGGCAGTGAATGAGTTAATGTTTTTTTTTATTGTTTTAGGGGGTGTGTTTTCAATGTCACTGGATTCTTATTGTTCTGAAACTCTCAAGTATTTGATGTCTTTGATCTTCTCCACTCACTAGTCCTGGAACTGATGTCACAACAGAGCTGGACAGCTGGATCGACAAGTTCTGCTTGGATGCTGACGTCTTTGTGCTGGTAGCAAATTCAGAGTCTACCCTCATGAACACGGTAATGACACGCAGGTACCTCTTGTTTGGTTTATGTAAATGTTGTCTGGGCTGGGCCTTGTTTTACCTCAGGGACTAAGCAGGGCACATAACTTTGACTTTTAGGTGCAGCTTATTGAATGATTGACTCCACATTGGAGCTGATTTTATTCATCAGATTTATCAGTTTTTTCATCGTGGTCATTTATCGTCATTTTCCCAATAATTTAATACATTTTTAAGACTTCTTTGTTGTTAGTACATATTTAAAAAGCAAATGTATTTGAGTTACTTGTATGAAGTGTTGAAAAACTACAACTTTTTCAGCATTTTCTAGTTCATTCTCAGGCCTTAATTGTCCCAGCAGAAATCATACCAGGTTATAAGTTGTCAGTCACATGTCATCACACGTGTGCTAGAGTCATAGGTATGTGTGCGTTATGCGCTGATCCAATTACAGCGTGGCTGCTGTGCTTCTCTTCAGACTGGCTCCACTCGTCTCTGTCTCATCTGGTTTTTGTACCGCGTGAAGCTAAACGGAGTCGCTCAGAGTTTCATCGTTGAGATGCAGCTCTTAAAGGGAAAGCAGAGTCACTTCCCTGTCTTTGATGTTCAGTGGAAATAAAGCTGTCATTTAGTTTTTACCAGAATATTGTCTGGCTTGTCCAAATTTGTTTATTTCCTAATTTATTTATCATCTCACTGCCACCAGTCAAGGCTGGCGGCCAAGGTGTGGTACAAGCTAAAGTGATGGACACTACACAGTAAAACTGGGATTAACAAAAGACCATGCTATAAGAAAAGGTCATGTGACACATCAAAACAAAATGTCACAACTCATTTAGTTTAGTAATATGCAAAAGGAAAGTTCTGTGATCAAACAGTTTCCTGTGTTAAACAGTATTAAACTTATTATGGTGGAGCAGTGGTGTCCGCCCTGTAATCGTAGAGTTGCAGGTTTGAGCCCTGCTCAGTCCGTTGCTGCTCCTGTGTCCTTGGGCAAGACACTCAACCCACATTGCCTGCTGGTGGTGGTCGGAGGCACCGGTGGCGCCTGTGCTCGGCAGCATCACCTGTCAGTGCACCCCAGGGCAGCTGTGGCTACAATGTAGCTCATCACAACCAGGGTGTGAATGTGTGTGTGAATGGGGGGGGGGGGGGGGGGTCCTAGATCTCTAGAGGTGCTGTATCAAATACATTTACCACTTATTTCACTGGTTAGAACTTTCTGAAAACAGGTCTCTTTTCTTCCAGGAAAAACACTTTTTCCACAAAGTAAACGAGCGTCTCTCAAAGCCAAACATCTTCATCCTCAACAACCGCTGGGACGCCTCGGCAAACGAGCCAGAGTACATGGAGGATGTGAGTCAACACTTGCTGTAATAGTCTCACGTCAGCAACATTACTGAAAATTATTAGAAATGAAACCAAAAGACCAAATATAAACAAAACCACAAATTTTCTCTTCTATCTTTTGAGGAGACTGAATTGGCGACTGATAGAAATCTTTCTGAGGACTTGTTTTAAACTTTTTAAACATTAATTCTTTTGTAATGACGAGCTGGAAAATCATCCATGGAATAAAAACTCTCTCTTTGCAGGTGAGGAAGCAGCACACAGACCGCTGTGTGAACTTTCTGGTGGACGAGCTAAAAGTTGTCGAGCGTGATCAGGCGCCCAATCGCATCTTCTTTGTGTCTGCAAAGGAGGTTCTGAACTCCCGAATGCAGCGCGCTCAGGGCATGCCTGAAACAGGTGGGTGTGGATGTTAAACAATGAAGTTAACATGATGTTTTAGGGCTGCTCGATTATGGCAAAAATAATAATCACGATTATGGTGACTGAAATTGAGATCACGATTATTTAAGACGATTTTTCAATTTATGTTGATTTTATTTGTTTTTTTTTTTTTTCAGTCATAAAATTGCTCAGGGCACAATCAGGACAAAAATAAGAAACAAGATGATCACTAAAATAACTCCTGATTCCCAGTATAAAAAGACCAATATACTTACAGCTCATAGTCTATGACCCAAGGGCTATAGACCTTGGTTTAACTCATTTAAGTCTAACCAGTACAGACCCAAATACCAATATCTTGCTAATGCTGACAGCAAGAATTATACAGTGGCATTTATAACAAATAAATACAAATAAATTGATGTTCACAAAATGTTGCAGAACATTTATTGAGTCGTGTCAAGGTGCTGTAGGAGTGTGCACTAGCACCGTGTCCTCAGAGAGATTAGTTATTAGTTATCAGTGTGAGGAACTTATTTCTACCTTATTTATTTACAAGTCGTCCATCAGTTAATGTAATAATTGTCCCAACCACAGCTGCACCCCCCACCCCCCAACCCGGTCTCACAGCAATCGGGGCAAGCTGCACGTGTGTTTAGCACGCCGCACACACACATTTAGCCGTTTTTAGTGGCTCAGGAGTCCGCAGGTGCGGTGTGTGTGTCACTCAATCTGGTTAATCCAGCAAGGAGCCGGCTCCGAGAGCCGTTTCTTTAGTGACCGACGCATCACTACATCATTCCCTTTCCTAATGTCCTGAAGAACGGTCCGGAGCGCAGGCAGAGTGTTTAGCTAACCTGCAGGAAATGTCGACGACAGTTATCCAGAAAGTAGCTGAGGGTTACCAGAGATGTTTCTGAGGTGTTCGCCAGGTACTTTTAAGTTAAAAAGTCAAGAAGTGGGTCTGAAAAGCTGCTAGAAATAGCATCAAAGTCACTAAGTTGGCAACACTGTGGAGGAGCGCTTCATTTGCAACTCATGGCAGCGCAAGCGGGAGGAGCAAAAAATCTGCTTGTTTTGTTTTTTATAATCGTTCAAAACTCAGATCGTAATCGTGATTAAAATCCGATTAATTGAGCAGCCCTATGATGTTTGTGTGTCTGGTGTCTTCTGTACTGACAACATTTGTTAAAGTAAGCAAACGGTATTTATTATGTAAAATATGATATCTGACGCAAGAATTAGAAAATAACTTGCAGGATTAAAACGAGGTGGGTTTTTTGTTTCACATATAGAGTTTTGGTTTCTGCGATCAGTTTGATTTTATCCACCAGGTGGAGCTTTGGCTGAAGGATTCCAGGAGAGACTGAAGGAGTTCCAGAGTTTTGAAAGAAGGTTTGAGGTATGAAGTCACCGGTCTAGCGTGTGATATGATGATGTAGCAGTAGTAGTAGGTTTGACTTGTAAATGACACACGACTTCCAATAAAACTTTCAGGCCCTGAGGTCTGAAGAATACATTTCTAAAGAGCAGTTTAACATCAGTTTGATAGAGAAAATGTTTCATTTCTTGCTTTCGCCTCTGCAACCACTCTCATCTGATGGAAGGTTATTGTGACGTAAACCGTAACCTCTGACCGTCCGCAACAGCCCATAACCGGTTTTGATCAGGTCCTAAAGGTTCAGGCTGACTTCCACAGAGCTCTCTAGACCCACCGTGCCTCTTCATCAACCTGCGTCTTCATTGCTGAAGTCTAGATTCACTCTGGTGGGGACATCCATTTGTTTTCATTTAAACTTTGATTTTATTCTCTCTGTGTTCAGTTTTGAGTTTTTACATTCCCGTATTTTGTTCAGCATTATTGAGACGTTTTGCTTTTGGCCTTGACGAGCTGAACTGGCCTTGTTTTAGTCATGGCTGATTGACTCCGAACTGGTCAAAGGAAGCCTAAACTGCTGTCCAATGGGATGATGTAAGGACTCGCTTGTCTCTGGTTCTGATCCGTATCAGTTCCTTTGTTTTGGTGTCTTCAACAGCCTCTGGAGACTTAGAAGGGAGGATACTTCAGGCTTTGTTTATGTAAATACTCAGCTAAGTTCACCTTTTCTTGTTTCTTCTTTAAGCAGCGACTAAGATCAGATCAGGTTTAGAGTCTAAGTGAACAAAATGTTTTTTATCAGATCAAATTAGGCTAAACTTCACTGCTAAGAGTTAAAACAATTTAGATAAAAGTCGACAATCATAGTTTCATCTGAAAAATGTTCACATAGGCTTTGTGTGGATTATCTCAGTTGTTTATTAAAGTAGTGGTTAATGAGACGTAATGGTCTTTAAGTTATGAGGGTGTCACAAACAGGACTTTTCAGGATCAGTGTGCCCCCCAAGACACAACCTTCTTACTTTTGTTGCATCTTTTCATTTCTTTCCTGTTTTTGTTGATTATTCTCATTTCTAACCCAACACACAGCTGTGACCATAGTACTCTGGGCTGTGGGATACAAGGTACACGCTCTGCTGCTGTCATTTACAAACCTGTGTTTCCATTTCTGTTCTTTTCCTTTAAGTCAGAAGTAGCAGGTGTCTATCTTGTTCTGTGTTCGTCCCCACGCGGCGTGCAAACTCACGCACGCTGTCCAGCAACCGAAACCGTCACAGTAACGTGTGTGTTATGGCCTCGCAGGAGTGTATCTCGCAGTCAGCAGTGAAAACAAAGTTTGAGCAGCACACTATCAGGGCCAAGCAGATCTCAGAACAAGTCAAGACCATCATGGATGCCATCAACATTGATGCGGCGGAGAAGCGGTGAGCATTCTTCCTGCACGCCTTTCTTTTATCTCTGGGATATTTGTTGTTGATCTGGTACAAGAAGTTTTACCGATAGATAAACTTAAATAATCTTGTTTATTTTTTTAAAATAATTTTAGATTAGAAGCACAGAAACTAGAATAAAATACCAATAATATGATCACGTTGGTGATTTGTGACTCGTTCAGCTTCTAGTTTTTTTGACAGTTGTGTGGTGTTTGTGGGATGGGCTTACAGAGTAGCAGCGCTGGAGGACAGGGAGTATCAGAAAGACCGTCTGGAGTTTGTTAAGAACCAGCTCAACCTTCTAATTGATGACATTAAGAAGAAGATCAAAGCCATCAGTGAGGATGTGGAGTCCAAGGTAATGGATGAAAGCATCTCTATGGGACCAGCCTGCACAAACTTCTGATTTTTATGTCTGGAAGAGAGGATTTCCTATCAGAACAGAGTAGTCATTAATTCTAAACACTAGACTGATTCTGGATGTGCTGCTGGTTTTGATCCTGAATCTAGGTGTCTGTTGCCATGGGAGACGAGATCAGCCGTCTTCACGTGATCGTTGACGAGTTTCACACTGATTTCCATCCTTCACCTCATGTCCTGAAGATCTACAAGTCTGTGAGTAAATCACTAACCCAAACCCCTTTTGCCCACTTTTAGAATATTAACTTAAATGCTGTGAAAAGTCTTATTTTGACTTCTGTTACAGCAGTTGAGGGAAGTATGGAAGGGTTGTTTATTTTCTGATGTTGGCAGGAGCTGCTGTCTCACGTGGAGGAAGGGATGGGAAAGAACCTGGCTTTCCGCTGCTCCAGCGCCATCAACGCCTCTGTCCAGTCCTCTCAGAATTACATGATAGGTAACAGAACATAAACATAACAAGTATCCAGAATGAATCTTAAAGAGACCATGTGTAGTTTTTATTGTTAATCTCTGGAAACATTTTTCAAAATGTTGAAAATCATTGGCAGCTTTATATAACCATAAAAATCAGGTACAAATAAATGGGAGTGGGTCTAAAGTTTCTGGGCGACGCCATATTAGAAACCATGTTTCCTTCTATGGTAGCCTGTGAGGACAAAACACATTTACTTATTTGTAACAAACGGTTACAAAACTTTTACCGTTCATAATCGTCATTTTACACATTCTCCGGTCAAGTCCTTTGTACCCGGTCGAAAAAACTACTTCTTCCTGCTTTTCATGCTTTTTCATGAGCTAAGAGGAATATACGGCTGTGCCAGTGAGATGAAGTCACCGGAGCACGGGTGATGAGCTCTGCAGAAGCGGAGCGAGTCAGGCACAAATACAAGACAGAAAGTACCAGAAAATATTCGAGGGCATGAACAATCTCGTGTTGGTTACATTGTTTGTGTGGCGCCATTTTGAGAATGTAATATGGCTGTGCTGAGGATGCATGAACATTCAGGGCTCTCCGTCCTCTGCTCAAATGAAGTCCCAGTATGCTGAGAGTCCGTATAAATAATGTAATCTAGGGCTTCCAGGGAAGCCCTTCACTCTTTTTGGGGACCCAGGATTACCGTAGCTCTCCCGTAATTTGAACCCTGGCTTTACATGAAAGCTGTTTTAAATCCCAAACCAACCGCTCTTTGACTTGTGTTGATTTTTCTATTTCTCACTCTTCAGAGAGCATGCTGCCTCTGCTTCCCTCTGCGGCCCAGAGCCAAGTCTCCATGCTGGTTCCTAACAGAACCTTTGACCTGAGCTACGACCTAAACTGCGCCACCATCTGCAGCGACTTCCAGGAAAACATCGAGTTCCAGTTCTCTTTGGGCTGGAAGTGTTTAGTCCACCGGTACCTGGGATCCGTTAACGCACAGAAGGCTCTCACTCTGGTGAACAAGAACTTCCAGGTGACATTTCTGATGTAACATGTAATGTCTGATTCAAAAGCTTCTTGTTTTATTTAAAAAAAAATTACTTGTTGTTGCAGACGTCTCAAGTTTCAGCATTCAACAAATGCTGCTAATTTCACCGTTCAGCTATTTGTAAAAAAGTAACCATTAAACTAGTCCTACTCCGATAACGGGTGTTTAAACATTTCAGCTGTCCAGTTTTTTAAACTATGTTCAGAGATTTCAGTTTTCTGCATTCTTTTTGGGCATTATTACACTTGTTGGTGATTTTTGCTTCTAAAATACATTCAGCTCAGTTTTACAGTTTTGCATGATTTCGGTTTCAGTTCTGTTATTCAGCAGCCAGTTTCAGCATCCAGCATTCAATTTATCTAGTTTTATTTAAAAAATATATCTCTTGTTGCAGACGTCTCAGCCAGCACTGCCTATGGCCCAAACACCTTCATCAGGGCCCCCGTCCATGGCAGCACCACCTAACAATGAGAGAGCCCTCATGACCCAGGAAGATCTGATGGTAGCCATGGCAACCAACGTGGCATCTCTCACTTCTCGTGCTTCAATGACCGTAATTGTTGTTGGAGGAGTGGTATGTACTTCCAGACATGTTTATACTTGCAGCACACATGTTTCTCTGAGAGGATCGTCCTGGTTTTGGTGCAGCGAAATGGGCCGAAACCACAATTCCACCAATAAGATCCTGAAATAGAGAGATCAGAAACTTTCAAACATTTTAATTGGCACAGAAATGTTCCCTTGAAGTGGTTTTCCTAAGGTGTTGCTCAATTTTGTTTTCTATTGAGGTGTGGAAAACCGTTGGCTGGAGGCTCATTGTCCTGTCGGCATCCCTCTATGGCCTGCTGTACCTGTACGAGAGACTCACCTGGACAACAAAAGCAAAGGAACGTGCTCTGAAACGACAGTTTGTGGACTACGCCACAGAGAAACTGCAGCTCATCGTCAGCTTTACTAGTGCAAACTGCAGTCATCAAGTCCAACAGTGAGTCCTGAATGTACTTAAGCGGCAGGTCAAGCTCATCTAACGTAGTTTTGTTTTTGCTGTGATGCATCTTAGATTTTCGCCATCCGTGGTCATTTTGCCATTATAAGTGAATATAAATTCCAAAACGTACCAAAATTAAAGTGCTTTTGGAAACCAGTAAGATATCAAAAAGCTAAATCAGATGTTAATAGCTGAATGTCTTAGTGTCACATTCTTGTGGACACGGTTTGAATTGATTCTTTTGCTTTTTTCTTCCCTTGTTAAATTCCTGATTTGCAAACTTGTCCAATCCCTCACACACACACACACACACACACACACACACACACACACACACACACACACACACTCTCTGTATCTGGGTGGTGTGACACCGTGCTCTCCGTGTTTCCAGGGAGATGGCCACAACCTTTGCTCGGCTCTGTCAGCAGGTGGACCAGACGCAGAAGGAGCTAGAGGCAGACATCCTTCAGCTGACAACCAAGATAGATCAGCTGGAGAAAGTCCAGATGCACTCAAAGAGCCTGAGGTGAGTCTGGTCCTGTTGCTCATTCAAAGGAAGAAGTGGGTGTCTGTCAGAATCCCCGATGATATAATGCAGCGGTGAGAAACTCTGGTCCTGGAGGTCTGCTAACTAGCATGTTTTAGTTGTGTCTCTGCTCCAACACACTTGATTCACTTGTTCAGCAGCTCATCAGGCTCTGAAGTCCTGATAACCACCTGTTGACTAGAATCAGCTGTGTTGAAACGGGACAGCTGAGGACCAAGACTACCACTACTGATATGAGACATAATTTCCACTGGAATATTGGCACACCTGAATGAAAACACCCACAAATTCAAACCAGGGATAAAATTGGATCAAATGAGCTGTGCTTCTATTTCCTGTGCAGACATAAAGCCACAGAGCTGGAGAAACAGTTGGAAGAATTTACAAACCAATACCTGCAGCCTCAGCAGTGAAACTGCTCCTCTTCACCGCTCTGAAGTTTGGATCTTATGAAGCCGCCCCAGAACACCACCAGCCTGTAGATGCTGGTCCTGAAATCTGTAAATCAGATGATCAGCCATGTGTAATGTGTTTAATGAAACGTGAGGCCCTTTAGTTAACAAAACTGCATTCTTCTTCCCTTTGTTAAAATTTGTAAAAGCTTTTTATTTTTTGCTTTTACATGCGTTACTTTTCCAGAAACACACAGTGCTTACCTCTCTTTCCCAGTCAAAGCAGGAGCAGCAGTGGAACTGTAAAACAGCCACAAGAGGGCGACTGGTTCCTGGTCAAAAGGCTGCAGGTGGCTGTAGTTTGACACTAAATTTGCTGTGACTTCAAATGTGTATATGCCTTTTATAAAAACACCTTTTGGTTGAGTGAATTAAGTGTTTCTCTAAGAATACGGATATTATTTTTGCTCAGACATGATCATTTCTATGTTAAAGGAAAGAATATAAGAAACTTTACTGCAAGGAATCATTCATATAGAAGGGAATGCACGTCTTCAGAATACTGTAGTTTGTTCTATTTTCTAACAATCCAAACTGTAAAGTTGACAGACTGAAAATCTTTAGACTTTTATAATACTCTTATTTTATTTATAAATAGAATTAACTGGCATTTACATCATATTTCATTTCATAATCCTTTTGTTTTTTAATGTGTGGAAATGCATCAGCATCTACCAGATTGTATTAAACAAAATTTTCTTAAACTCTTGTTCTGTTTTTATTACAGCAACATGTCCCACAGGACACAATTTAACCAGGAACAAGTCATTTATGCGTCTTCGTGCTTGTGTAGTAAATGGGATGATTTCTATTTAAGTGAAAATTTTCCTCGTAAATGTGTTGTAGAAAGTCATGTTTTTATGTATTAATTTACCACTGGAAGGAAACTTAAAATGTTTCAAATGCTCCATGATTTTTTTTCTTTTAGATCTAGAACATCTCTTGAAATGTATAAGTAAACAAAGCTTTATTTATAAAGCGCCTTCCGCAACCCTGTCAGGAAGCCCAAAGCGCTGAAAGGGCTTAATTGTACAAAAATGTGATTTAATGGGCAGGCTGACAGCTACAGTTTCTTCTACAGTCTAAATTTACTGAAGACATCAGTCTAGGCATCAGCTGAAAAATGTCACATCTTTAAAGAGGTGGAAGGACAGTGGCAGAGGAGTCAGGTGCCCGCCTCGTAATTACAGGGTTGCAAGTTCAAACCCCCCTCTGTTGCAGTAGTCGTGTCCTTGAGTAAGACACTTAACCCGCCTCGCCCGTCAGTGTGTCCCAGGGCAGCCGTGACTACCATGTAATGTGTGGATGACTGCTTTGTAAAGCACCTTGGGGGGTTTAGAATCTTAGAATCCCCCATAAATGCAACTTTTAACAAAAAAAGCCAGAATCAGCATCCTTGATTAAAAGCTTTTTTTTAATTGGTTACAATAACTCATGGCAACATTATCCGTATCACCAAGCCACTGTACAAATACAAAAACAAAGGTTTGATGTGAAAAAGACTATAAAAATTATTTAATAAGTGATTATAATTCCACACAATAGCACTGTAAGAGAATTATGGCACCAAGTCCTCGGTCTTTGATGGCTTCAAACAAAATAATAAATAAGAATGTGTCAACAGCAGGCTGAAGAGTCAAAAGCAGTGCAGGTCTGTGATCAAAAAGCTGGGCAGTCACATTAAACTGGGTGAAGCAAATTTCAGTCACACAGCAGGAATTAACGGTTAAACAAGGTGAAAGTCAGACACGGCACAGAGACACTTATGATCGGTTAAAAGTAAAAAAAAAATATAACCTGGAAAAACATCAGATGAAGCAACAATGTAAAGTTGAAGGAAGTCGAGCACCGCTGTTGATTTATAGCTTTACTGCATGAGTGAACTGCTCAGGCACGTGTTTCTATTCCAGGTTTCAGCTGATCATACAGATGAAATGGTCACCTGCTGATCGCTGTCTGATGTGGACAAGCCCACCCCCCCTTTAGCTCTGTAAGGTCCACGGTGGTTTGTAGTTTGCTTCACACAGCTCCCTGTGGAATATGGAAGCAACAAGACGGATGTAGCAGGGGAAATTGGAGAAGCTGGAATTTTTCACGACAACGATTCAAAACTCGACCAAATTTTGCTGCTGATGCTGCACTGTGTTCTGTGACCACTGTGAAGTGATGCCGTTGCACCAACTGTGACAAGTACTAGAAAATATGTTAATGCAACACTTAATTGCAGTTTTTCAAAGATAAACGTAAGAACCAATTCAGTTTGGGTGGAAATTAACATCAGCACTGTGCACTGCCCAATGTACAGGCTTAGCATTTAACATAAGCTCTGTGCATTTTATGATGGTCACAAAGTTTGACACAAGCACACCTGATGTCCACGGACAGAAATAGAAGTCTAATGAGTTCTGCCAGCAGGGACGACTCTGGGATATAAAAAGACACCAGAAGCTAATCAGCTTTGTAAAGAGACACTGATGTGACCATCTGATGGAGAAGGTTGGCATTTTAGTAACATGAGCAAAGAGGTTAACTACCTTTTTTTTCTTCTCCATTTTACTTATGACTAGTTTTCGGTTCACAGCTCAGGGTCTGTGGATAACATTGGCACAAATAAGGAAGTAACATTTAGATCCAGAGGTTTCACACACACACACACACCAATAACAATCCCTCCCCTCCCCACACGCACCTCCCGCTATACTAACATTTCCCATCCCTCCCCTCCCCACACGCACTTCCCGCTACACTCACATTTCCCATCCAACACATCCTCCTCAGGCTAAAACTATTACCATTTTTAACCTTCACTCGAGATTGATTTGTTAATGCGAAGTGGAAGCAGGTAAAACAGAATAAACTAAACGTCCACCAGAACCACGCTCATCTCACCACGGCTAACCAAACCTTTATAAGGACTACAAACATTACCGTAGAAATAAAAAGCTAAATTTATATTAAAAGTTTAGGAAGCTGTGCTGATGTGAAGCTGTTTTTTCCCCTGTAAGCATGAGTCTTAGTGTTCATTTGCATCAGAACATACTTCTACTAGGGAGAAAAGCAGAACATCATTAGTTTGTAAAAAATAAAATGCTTTGTTGTTTCACCTCTGATATGAACAACAATCTAAGGCAAACACAGAGACAACAGGGCCACGCTCTCCTCATCAGCCCACAAGGCTCCAGACAGTGGATGATTAAGTCCTATACACACACGATGTGTGGTTCTGCTCCGTTTGTGTTGTTCAGCTGTGCTATGCAAGACGTACCAGAACATCAAACCCAGTAAAACCATTTCTATAAACACGTCACAAGTGTACAATGGTTATTCCTACTCTGTGTGTGTGCCTCTAGCGCTCTACTAGGTGTACGTTTCCATTTACCAAGTGTACTTTCTTCACATGTCGTGTTAAGTTCGTATCGTTTTTTATTTTTATTTATTTTTTGGTGAGGAACAAGAACATTCAGAGAGTTTGATCTTCAGAACTCCTTGTTGGTGTTTAGTCCTTTCTAACAGGCTCGTGGTGGCACCGGTGTGATTTTACTTCCATGCAGTCACTATTCACATCTCATCGATGACAAAAAGGACTCGGATCCTTCAATTAGAAAAAGAGGGGTTAAATGACATGTTGAGCTTTGACATCTTTTATTAAGGTCCACAGATGCCGCTAGGACCTCTTCGTGGTCCCAACACGAAGCTCCTTTGATGCATGGGTCTGACACAGCGAGAGGCTGCTTTCTGCTCGTGTCGTCCTTCACAACACTGCTCCACTGTTGGGCAACAAGAGCTGGTCTCGTCCTTGTAGGGAAAACAAGTCTTCTGCAGGCCACATGAGGTAGGGATGTCCTGACCTCCTTTACCACGCTGCAGTTGATTTGCACGGAATGGATGTTCAGCATTTGAGGATTTGACGATACCATCCACATGAGCAGAGGCCAAGCCTAGGCCTCTGACCATTACGGTTTTCCATCTTAGCCTAAACTCTAACAATGTCTACTTTGGAGTTGAAGCTTGATTTAGAAAAAAAAAATAAAATAAAAACAGTTCCCTTCCAAAACAAATGGTGTAAGAACGGGGATCATATTATCAAAACTAATGTTCACTTGATGCCCAATAAATATTACAAACAAAAGCCGAATTATTTCTTATTTCTTGATCTTCAGAAACCGACGGAGCGGTTCTGATTTAATCAGCAACAACCAACATTTTTGTGACATTTTAGGAGAATCTCAACTGGGATCAAATAAATATTTTTGGCATTATGTACGTCTGTTCATAAAGAAACTACAAAAATGAGTTAAAAGGTGGAAAATAAACAATAAAACACACACACACACAATATATGCATTTATGATGCACATATACAAACATAATGCTATACAAATATACCGTCTTTATATTTACATATTACACACTGATGCTAACCTTTCTGTTACAGACATCCTTTAATGCCCCTAGAAAAGAATTGGATAAAAACAAAACCCTCAACTTTGTTTTCTTCTGCTTTTCTATCAATTGGAAAACCTCAGTTTTATGTGGACAACTACCTTAAAAAAAAAAAAAAGATATTGTTGCTGTGTAACGTCAGGATAAAAGACAAAAAACAAAACAAACCCCTAGGAGGAGCGACGAGAGCTTCAGCTGATGCACGCCTCAGGTCCAGCCCAGCAGATGAGTGGGGATAGGTAGGACTGGGCTGTGAGACTAAGGTGGTGACAGTGATAGAACGCATCAGGCGAGATGTTTGGTTAGTTCCAAATCCGGAGGAAACTATCCCAGGAGCCGGTGGCCACGGCCATGCCGTCATTCGTCACTCCTAAGCAGCTCACTCTGTTATCATGACCGGCTAGCACACCTGGAGGAGGAGAACGTCGAGTCAGGATAAAATACATCCATCTAAAAGACCAAACTTATGGGTCTCATATCCATATATTAAGTCACACACCTGCACGCTCCCCTTTCAGAGTGTCCCAGACGTTGCAGTTGAAGTCATCGTACCCGGCTAACAGCAGGCGGCCGCTTTTGGAGAACGCCACTGAAGTAATGCCACAGATGATGTTGTCATGGCTGTACATCATCAACTCCTGGTCGGCACGCAGGTCAAACAACCTGCAGGTGGCATCGTCTGAGCCTGTGCCAAATGCATTCCCATTCGGGAAAAACTGCAAGAGAGAATGACAAATTGTATTAAAAGAAAAAATTATGAAATAAAGTTCAATAGAAAGAACAACAGTCTTGTTTCCAGGTGTCCTCCACTCCCCATCCCGTGTGTAGTCTCTACACTCACGCAGACGGCGTTGATGTCGGACACGTGGCCGGTGAAAGACTGCCTGCACATCCCGTCACGGATGTCCCATAGCTTGGAGGTGGCGTCACACGCTCCCGACACAAACGTCTTTAAGTCTGGACTGAGAGACAAGCTCATCACGTCTCCGGTGTGGCCCGTGAAGTTGGTGGCCAGCTGACCTGTTTCTATGTCCCACAATGCACTTCAGGAGAAAAGCAGAATGAGGAAAATGGTTCATGGAGTTTAAATCGTGTACAGTTCAGGTGCTTTTGGTGTTTTTCAAAGCAAAATCAAACTGCAGACCCTGCTAACGTTGGTCATCGATTACATTTTTTCACATTTAACCTTTATGCACAGTAATTCATGCTCTGCTAAAGTTTTGCCTCTGACGGCTATTCACCAGGTTGTGTCTCCGGAGCTGGTTAGGATCTGGTTGTCATCCAAGAAGCGACAGCAGGACAAGTAACCTGACGATAAACAGAAGAGCCACACTGGATAAGGAGGTAGTTCTTCCTACTCAGTTACACTTAAACACACTGCAGTAAAAATCAGTTTAACGTTGAGAGATCTAGAAGGAACTTTTTTTTGTGCAGTGGGAGATATTTTTTTTTATGTTGTATTATTTCTCTTCAAGTCTACCGGTGTGTCCAGGCAGCTCTCGTGTCACGCGCACGTTGCCCTCGCGGGTCTTTAGGCTGTATATGGAGCAGATATTGTCAAGACCTCCGCAGGCCACGTAGTTCCCAGACGGGGCGTAGGCGCATGTCATCACCCATGAAGAACGTAGCGGGATGGCATGCATCTGATGGAAGAAAATGGAAGATGACATTTGGAGTTATAGTTTGGGAATTTGCTGACGGGAGTAAATAAAAAGTGTGTGTATAACTGTGCCTCAACCTTCCCCACCAGAATCGGGATTATTTAAAAATAATAAATAAATAAAAAATAAAAAAAGAGCAAAAGGTCAGTTATCAGCTAATTAAAGACGTAATCTGACCTTATTTGTTGTGTAGCTGTCCCAGATGATTAGCTTTCCATCTTGTGAGGCACTGACCAGTAACCTAGAGACGAGTTCAAGAGAGCAGCATGAAACTCTGTTAAATAAAAAAGCCTTCACAAATTACCATCCATGCTCCTCTTATTAAAAGCAGAGGCAGCCATCACACAAACAGCAGTGCTGATCTGTCAGCCTGAATCATTACAAGGTGCTCAAACATCATCTCTTTACCCCAATTTCCCTTCACTCCTCTCCCTCCACTCCCAAAAGAAAACGCCTCATCCAGCAAAGCCACTTTAATGTCCCATCTAATGTAATATTTATCACCCACGTTATGGAAAAACCCTCCTCTGTTAGATGGCAGCTGGGAGGACATAGGAAGAAGCAGAGCAGGGACAGAGAAGAAAGAGACGGATAAAGGCCCGAGTGGGAGGATATAGATGGTGCAGATGCAGGAACAGCTGGAACACCTCTCTCCTGTCCTGACAGGGACAGGAAGTGGTTCGATGGTGCTGACAAGAGGAGAGACTTGAGGCTAAAATGTAAGCAGCTGTGCACAGATTAAACTCTGGTGCCATGAAGGGTCACCTACAGGCTGCTGGACAGAAGACCCCCCCCCCCCCCCCCCCCACACACACACACACACACACACGCACGCACGCAATCTACAAAAGCTATAGGACGTAGTGGACAAACCTCCTTGTGTAACAATATCCAAAAATACATTTTTCAGGAGTGAAAAGATTTTTTTTTTACAACTTCTGTTATAACTTCAGGAAACTTAACAGAAAATGTGTGTGAGAATATAAAAAGCTACCACTTTACAATAAGGCTCCCCATGCAATAAATACTTATAGATATGTTATTAATGAATCTAACATTTTATAAATCACTTACAAGTTTTTATTAATGAAGGGCAGGAAAGAGAACAGACTTGACTCAATATTTAGTAAGACATTGACCATTTCATCTTCTTTGCCCTTAATTGAACGATCATTTAATTAAAAAGATAAAAGACCTGCACTTGTATAGCGCCTCAGAATCAGAGGACTCCAAAGCACTTTACACTACAGTGTAATTAATGCATGATAGCGACTCACCCCGGTTTCACACTGAAAGCACCAGTGGTACGGAACGGCAGTGGAACGTCACTGCTTCAGATAGAACCCATTATAGTCTATGGAGAATCCATTATAGTCTATGGAGTGTTTCAAACCAGCAGAGACGTGGCAATTTCCAGGCGCGTCCCACAAGCGGCACGTCACATCGCTGAAGATAGGATCAGGTTCTAGTTCCATTTTTGCCACGAGCCGTTTCTCAGACATGTCAATTTCCGCAGATAACATCGGGCTAGACAGGAAATCACACTGTTTCAGTGTAAAATCCCCAGTAATTTTCAAAATAAAAGTACTGCAGTGATGCAATTTCATATATATGAAGCTTACATGTGACCTAACAGCTCATTTACTCTGTGCATCATTCCAGAAGTGCAGTAGTGTGTTTTTCATGGCTTTAATCCTGGCAGGGGAGAGGAACAACATCATATTACATCAAACAGCGATATCAAATGTGATTTCCTTCTTTTGGTTTAATGGCGGATTGCATAAACAAACCGTGACCTGAAGTCTCAAAGGATCGTGTGATCTTGCGAGTCCAGCAGAGAGCACAGTGAGGAAGCCGTGCTGCTGCCAAGACTCTCCCGGTGTGAAAAGGACCACTTTGAAGTTCGCCAGTAAACCGTTGCACTGCCGTTTCACACCACTGATGATTCCAGTGTGAAACCGAGGTTAGTGTTGTGTAAGGTGTTACATATAAGTCCTCACTGGCTCAGGTAGTGGTTCCATCCTGCTTTAGGAGCTACAATAGTTCCAGTACCAAGGAATCCCTCAACGATTATAGACCAGTGGCACTGACGTCTGTGATGGAAGTGCTTTGACGGGCTTGTTCGTGCCTTCCAGAGAACTTTGATCGGCACCAGTTTGCCTGTAGAACAAACCGCTGCACCGACGACACCATCACCACAGTCCTTCCTTCAGTTTTCAACCATCTGCAACGACCGGACACTTATGCTAGACTGTTTTTTGTATATGCTGGCTCAGCATTTAACACCATTTACCAGACATTCAGTGGAAGATGACGACTGGGCTGAATTTCGACCCCCTCATGTGCTCTTGGATTAAGGACTTCCTTACAGATTGCCAGCAGGTAGTTAAACCTTGTCAGTGCTTCTCATCCACCCTAACTGTGTGCCTAGTCCCCAGCTTTACACCCTGTACCCCTCAGACTGCCAGCCCATACAGCCCCCAAAGTCCATCATTAAATTTGCTGACAATACCACGGTGGTGGTGGGTTTGTGAGTGGGTGGGGTGAGTCGGTCTACAGGGGGTAAATACAGGCACCGTTGAGATGGTGCACCCTGAACAACCTGGCTCTAGATACAATGAAGACCAAAGAAATTACTGTGTACTTCAGAAAGGACAAGAGGGATCATGCTCCTCTGGCCATTAAGAGGGCACGGGTGGAGTGGGTGGTTTTGTTTTAAGTTCCTGGGGACATACTTTCAAGAGGACCTGAAGTGCAATAAATACTTTATAGATTTATAGATAAACACCTCAACACCATTCAAAAAGGCTCAGCAGAGACTTTATTTTCTTCATGTGCTCAGAAGGAACCATCTTGGGGAGAGGCTGCTGGTGTCTTTACAGGGCCGCCTTCAAGTCAGTGCTGGTGTTCTCCATCTCTGTGTGGTTTGCTGCCTGCCAGGAAAGCTCTGCAGAAAAGATCATTGGCTGGCCCCTGCCCATCCTGGAGAACACCATCTGGAGCCAACTCTAGATGTTCAAATGGAACACTGAGGAACGTAGCAGACTCTTCTCACCCTGGACATGAACTACAACTGCTTCAGTCAGGGAGATGATCCAAGTCCCCCGGAAGCAGAACCAACAGACCGAAGGACAGTTTTGACCTGTGGGCAGTAAGAATTTTAAAACCTCCTTTTGATCACACACAGAAATGTGAAATGCTGTCATCGCTATGGAAACTCTCCCTATCCCAACCTGGGCGGGACTGTGACCGGTGAAGGCCGTGGAACCGTATCTAGGAGTCACTGTACTCTCCAACCCATTATATCCCTCCCCTGTCCAAACGTAGGTGTTGAGCGCTGCCCCATGCCGCTGCACACACTAAAGTGAGGAGAGTCCCAACCCTACCTCCCCACCTAGTGGACACTTATGTTGTGTAATGTCTGAAGTCTGTGTGCATATCTGTCTGAGGTGTTTCTTGCATAGCAAAGCTGCCCTCTCTGTGGAGGGTAACTCTGAAGTGCCTTTTTTCCCCTCTCCCTGACCCAATCCCCATATAAACCCTCTTGATCTTTAACTGGTAGCGCGACTCGGGTTGCAAATGACCACAGTCACCAATTCTTGTCACGTGTCTATGTATGCATGTCTGATCTCAGAACTGTGTGTACTGAAACTCTAATTTCCCTCTGGGATTAATAAAGTATTTTTTAATTGAATAATGGGAGGTGCTCATTTCTGCCATTTTTCTTTCTTCAGGGAAGGCGTCTGCTACATCCCCTACACTGACTGGTTTTACTGCACATTTTATTGTTGCCGTTTTTAGCAAAAATTGTATTTTTAGCTTGTTTTGTAGAATAGTGTTGCTCTCATCATAGCCGTTCTTAGTGGTGTTGCTTTAATGCATGTTGTCTAGCGCCATGTCAGAGGAGGTCTTCATAATCTTGCTATGCTCTCATCATTCATTCATTACATATCTATAAAATATTTATAAGCCATCTTTAAGGGGAGGCTTATTATAAAGTGTTAAAAAAAATAATTTTGAAAATTGCAGCTCAAGTATAATTTCTGCGAGTTGGGATTAGTGCCACACATGCATACTTATGGTGAAGTAGGATCCTAACAGACAATTTAGTCAGTGCTCATAATTGCAGCAAACTGTTAAAAAAAAGCAGTTTGTAAGACCAAATTTAATGACCAATATATGTACATTCACTTTCATGGAAATCATTCCTTAATTTACATGAATTACAACAGCTGTCCAAGTTTAAGATCTTAGAAACTGCATCTTTAGGGAAGCTTGAGTTGCCGTTTGTGTGCTGGAAACATCACTGAGCTCATAGTGAGGGCATAAAACTGTGCTGAGTGATTAGTGGTAGTAAGAGGCAAACGTCATTTATGGTAATATTAGTCATATTAGTAGTAGTAGTGGTAGTAAAAGTAAACCTGGGACTGTCGTCACTGCCCCATTGCATCGCATTAGAAGACAGGCGGACAGACAAAGAAAGAGTGACAAAATCATGATAAAACATGAACACAGTTTAAATAACACTATTATTTTACCACCCATCTCTGGAAAAACTCAAAGCTATTAAAATGCCACCAGAAATGTATACTTTTGTCTTTTTTTATATAAAGAAAAGCAGAAATAATTATGTGCTTTCTGGATTAAAATAAGCTTATAGAGTAAAGGAGTGCATAAGCTAAAGCAGCATGAAAAACAAAGACAGAATAAACAGTTGGGTGTTTTAAAGGTGCAATATGCAAGAATAGCCATGTTTACATTTGTCAGAACTTCAGGGTAAATTGTGGGAGGGGGAATTGAGCGGAAAATATGATTGCTTGTTCCTCTCAGCTGTTGTGTCTCCATTCAAATTCAGTCCTTTCAGGACTTTTCACAGATGTCAGCATATCGTGACTGCTTTGGCAGTAAGTGATGTCACTGATCAGCACCAAAACGCATCCACAGTAACATTAATAACATGAAAAGTAATTCTGTTTAAGCATATCATAAATTAGGAACGACAGTTTTAATTCAGTGCAATCAGTGCTTATTTTCTTTTGCTTCCATTTCCGTTTCACAAGCAACTCCTCTAATTTTACTAATGCCGGTTGTTTTGAACGGCATCTGCTGATATAATTTCCTACTGACTTTCAACCAATAAACGCGAGTTAATGTAAATTTCCGCTCAGCTACTCCACCGGGCCATTCTGAGTACCTACCCCTGATCAGGTAATCGGAAAGTTCCTGAAAACAGCCGTTTGGCTGGCCCGGTCAAAAGGAGACACACATGCCAGGAAGTTCTGGTAAATTTACCCCAAAGTTCCAGCAATGGAAATGCAGTTAATGATATCTTGTGGTCCATTTTAGGTACTGGAGTCCTTTTTTATAAACAAAAAGTCTCTATCTCACCTAAAAAACAAGAATTCTGCAGATGTTTGCATATTTACAATAACTTTTTTCATCCATTTCATGATTAGAGATTTCTCAGCTGGTTAGTGGAATCAACAACATCTGTTTGTTTCACAACAAATCAAGGGCCCAAAAATGTAAATGGTTTTATTTATCAATCGCGAAGTTAGCCATTTGTAATATTGGTTTGGTGTTTAATAATAAAATCAGAGGCGACAAAAAGTTACAGAGTCATCTCTGGAGTTTATGCTAAATTAATAACAAAACCCAACACTACCTGGAGTCACTTCCCCAGTGCATTGCATAGATCTTGGCCAGGTGGCCCCTGAGTGTGCGTCGCGTCCGCATCTGTATCCGGCCCACAGAGTCCAGACCAGCTGTGATCTGCCAAAACACAGGAAGGAGTCAGTGGTTACGTTTGAGTCACAGACACAAATCAGAGCTGGACACAAGCTGAGGAAGCAGAAGCAGGTCGGTGCTTTAAACTCAGAGAAAGGACGAAAGTCAGTTGGTGAAAACTATCTGTGGATTATTTCTCACGGATTCAGAAAGGTGTTCTGGAAAAAAATTCAATCCTTACAAAAAATTGTAGGATTGTTCAGTAAAATATTTTAAAAATGTCTGCAGGAGGTTTCTTACCTGTGACAGAGTGGAGTCACTGCAGGCTTTTCTGGCATCCTGCAACAAGACAGAAAACTTTACCACAACAAATAAAGCTGATATCTAGGCACGGCCTGGACACAGCATGGATAGAGTACAAAACTTTTAAAACAATCAATTCTTTAACACTTTGCTGCCAAAGGCTCAGGCTTTCCTGTAATATCTAAAAGACGTACGAATCAGTATTTTTATACAGTTTTACTATATTTACACTTTTTTTTTTTTTTTTTTTTTTTTTACACATTTAGAGTCTGGTCCTTGTACCCGAACACGACAGGCATTTGCAAATGTCAAAACACTATTTTACATGAACTGTCAAACTGAAATAAAAAAGGTACATCTAATGGGGCAAACATCAACCTATAAATGACATGGATATAAAACAAATTCCATGTATTGGATTTGAAGATGTGAGTTTCAGTTTGCAGTGGAGACAGCAACAAACATGTTCAACTTTTATAAATAACATGAAACAGGAGGAGCACAAAAACAAATGACTGTCGTCGTACCCGGATCTGATTTCGTAGTTGTTCGGCTTCCTGCCGCAACTGTTCCAGCTCACTCATAGTCCCTGTGAGATGTGTTCAGGCTACGCTCCACTCAAAACACTGGCTGGGTCGAGGAAACACACACGTCTTCAAGCATGCACACAGACATTCACTCACACATACACACACACACACTCACTCACACACACTCACTCACACACACTCACTCACACACACTCACTCACACAATTAACCAGGTGACACCTGCAAGACAGACAGAAATACTTTAGGTCCAACAGGTTGACAGAAAAGATAGAAATATTTCTCCCATCATACAAACAATGATTTCCCTTTTAGGTTTAAACCAATAAGAAAAGTGCTGCAAAGGGACAAAAATGGTCCCCCCCCCCTTCTGAAGCAGAACCCACCAGGGGAATGATGGACTGGGTGGCAACTTGGAGGGTGGTCTGCCTCTTCAAACACCCTAACTGTGGTTCAAAAGGCCATCTGAACCAGGCTCTGACCTTTTCTCACTCAGCCTTTTGTGTTGTTGCACAGTGCTGTTTGAGCAACCCACTACCGTGTGTGCGCGTATGCTAGGGGAGATCTGGATAGCATACCAGACAATGCATCCGAGGGAAAATGAAACCATGTGTGCATGTTTACATAGATGTGTGAGTGTGTGGAGGTTCTATTAATCAGATTAAGCATTTGTTTGCACATCATGCATGCGTGTGTGTATATGTATGTGTCAGTTGCCACTTCCTTTACTTCTGGGGGTCTGAATGGGGGCCACTGAGCACTTACATACTAGGGGTGGGACCGTATTCTGTACTTTTTAAAGGCACTGACCAAATACCGCTGTACCGACCAAGGATCATTTCACGTGATATGAAACGAAGACTTGTTTCGGTACCATAGAGTTTGATGCCGGATTTCCCAAGATAGACAGCAGCTCATATGCTGCAGGCAGTGATGGGAATAACGACGTTTAAAATAACGGCGTTACTAACGGCATTCTTTTTTGGGTAACGGAATAATTTAATGAATTACTTTTCCCACTGTTGCAACGTCGTTACCGTTACTAGGGACGGAAGGTTGTGCGTTACTATGTGCTTGTCGAACGTTGAGCAACAGTGTGAGGCTTTCTGACCGCCACACTTCAGCTGCAGCCAGGGAGAGAGAGGTGTCGGTAACGCACTTACAAACACGATGATGATTGGCCGGGTGGGCAGAGACCATCAGTGTTCTCACAGTCTCAGTCACTGCCTGCTATAGACACAACAGAGCAGTGATGGGAATAATGCCGTTTAAAATAACTGCGTTAATAAAACAATTGTTTTTCCAGTAACGAGCAATCTAATTAATTACCGTCTTTTATCAAAACGTCATTTGTTACTGATAAGGAAATGCGTGCGTTAAGCAGCGCGGTGTGTTGAAGCTGTCATCAGCTGATCAGGAGCTAGAGAGGAAGATTTTTTCATCCAAGCGCATCACGGCCCGTGATGAACGAGGAAGACGTGATGATTAGTCTACGGCTGCAGGTGTGGATCTGCAGCCGTGCCCTTCTTAGTCTCAGACGTCATGGAGCTCAGGTGTTATTAGAACTACCTGTGTGTCTTTACCACCCAGCTTCAGCTCTTCTGTGTTTGGGTCTGACCCAAGTTAGTAAATGTAAGTCCTCCATCAGGTTTGTGCCTCAGGGGTGTCAAATATGCGGCCCGCGGGCCGCATCCGGCCCACAAGCGGGTTAAATCCGGCCCGCGAGATGGTTGTGTAAACTTTATTTTCATACTTTACAATGTAGAGTGAAAATAAACTTATCTTTGTGAGCAAGTTTTCTCTGTAACGAAGTGTAAATAAGACAAAGCTGCGCTCAAGGCTCACACAAGAACTTGAATCCCATCCTGAAGTTGGCTGCCACTCAGGATGTGACTTCTGATATTGATGTGCTGGTGAAAGCTAAAAGATGTTAAGTAAAATGAGTCAAATATACTTTAAGTGCTGCATGGAACTGATCTAGCCATGCGATCTGTAAGCTCTTTGAATCACTAAGGAATGTTTTCTTTTTTTTTTTTCAAATTTTCAAGTACACTTCAGGTGTTGTACTTGTACTACACTGTCCTCAGGCTCCAGCTTTGTTTTATATTGATTGTATTAAAACAAAGAAAACAATCTGAAGTTGTTTTTAATTTACCGGTCCGGCCCACTTGGGACTAGATTTCCCTCAATGTGGCCCCTGAGCTAAAATGAGTTTGACACCCCTGCTCTAATGTAATTTTAAAGGATATTTATTTATTTATTTAACCGTTACTAGATTACCAGCAACAGACTGGGACCAGGAAACGGGACCACATCAGTCCAGTTCTGGCCTCCCTGCACTGGCTTCCGATTTGCTATCGCTCACAATTCAAAATACTCGTCTTTGTTTATCATTTCTTCCAGGGTGGTGGTCCCCCCTATCTGGCCACTCTCCTGAACAGACACTCCCCATCACGCGCTCTGCGCTCCTCTGACCAAGGCCTGCTCGCTGTCCCTCGGTCTAGGTGTCGTACCCGTGGGGACCGGGCTTTCTCAGTCCTAGCACCGTTACTCTGGAACCAGTTGCCACCCTCAGTTAGGCTGTCCCCTTCTCTGCCAGTCTTTAAGAATCACCTAAAAACACACCTCCTCCGCTTGGCGTTTCCAGAACATGTTTGATTTTGGCCCTCTTTTATGTTGAATCCATTCCACAGTTTTCATTGGTACACTCAATCCATCCACTCAATCCAAATGTGTTTCACACATTTGTCCTTTACCGGACTGTTTCATCTATCTTGTAAATTCCATTTTGTATTTTGTAATTTGAATTTCTTTTATTGTTGATTCATTCAATAAATTTCCTTACAAATGTACCGTGTTCAGCGCTTTGGGCTTCCTGACAGGGTTGCGGAAGGCGCTTTATAAATAAAGCTTTGATTGATTGATTGATTGATTGAGAAATGCTACTAAAAACACACAATTATGTGAAGCTGGAAATTTTTAAATATTGTGCAAATTTACATTTATTTCTGTAATTTAACTAGGCTGAGAGACTATTTAAAGGCTCGGGAACCTTTACAGGTGTTTCTATTTGCAATTTTAAATTTTAGCTGATTGGGGTCTTGTTAAATATCACACAGTGATCTTTTAATAGTCTAGATTAGTGTAATGTTCCTGTTAGTAGTTCCTCCTGTTAAGTGCTTATTTATTTAAATTATTCAGGTTTATAAAAAACATTTGGACATACATTTTATTATGTTCCAGTCATTAGTCATTTATATTTCACTATTGTAGTAATTTATAGTAAATTAAGTTAGTTTAAGAGGAGAACCCATTTTCCTTGCTTTCTTTAATGAAAAAAGTAACTAAGTAGTTATTTTTCTTGGTAATTAGTTACTTTTATAATCTTGTAACTCTGTAAGTAACTGAGTTACTTTTGTGACAAAGTAATTAGTAATTATAATTACTTTTTTTAAAGTAACGTTCTCAACACTGGCTGCAGGCAAGATGTAAATAGAGCATGCAGCATGGTAGAAAGAACACGCTCTAAAGTTTGGGTCTACTTCACTGAATGCAATGGGTGACTAGGTGATGACAAAATAGACAACAATCAAAGTGAGGCATCATCATCTTAATCTGCTCTAGCAGATAGACTGTTTAAAATAATGTTGGCTTGATACTTTAGCTTCTGTTGCTATCAGCTAATGGTGCGTTCACTACCTCCTTGGGACTCGAAAGGTCAGACTTCCAAGTAGAATCTACATTTTACATTTCTGGGTCGGTTGAGGCCAGTGCACCTCAGCCTTACTGACACAAGTGAAGACTCGCTTGTCTCAGCCGGAGATGAGACATTATGATGTGTTCAGCTGCCCAGGAGTGACGTCACTCAGCCATCCAGCTGACGCAACCTGCTGGAAGAGAGGCCCCAAGCGTCAGCCCGTATGAGCTGTGCTCCTACTCCACAAGAACGGACAATCCGTTAAGCTATATGGCTCTGAGGTCCACTATGTCACACTGGGTGCTTTGTTGACCGTACAACACAATAGTCAGCCTGTAGCCCACAGGCTGTGTGGTGAAATACAAAACCTAAGATATAACAGATGGTGAGAAATTCCAGAAAACTAACTTCTCTACAACGTTTAGCGGACTGATCTGATTTTAGGTGGATAAACCACATGAACAGACTTGCACACATTTTGATAGTAAATATTGCTCATTCATAAACCAAACAGGACCGAGAGGTTTTAGAAAATCCCACCGGCTGAAGTAGCCATTTAATAATCGGCTGCCAGAACAGTGTCAGATGGAGCTTATGTTTAGAAAATTTAAAGCTACGTGCTTGTGTCTGTTTTATAAGTGTGGGACTTGAGGTGTGGAACGAATCAGCCTGTTCACCAAAGCCACATGGCTGAGTGGTGGATCGTGGGTGACAAAGAGCCATGTGCTGCAGTCGCCCATTGTTAAGTACATGGTCAGAGTTAGGGCTGCTGATGCCTTGCTACTGAAAACATCCAGTAATCAATCACCCAATGAGAAAACTGTGCCTGAAACAAGGACAATAAACACCAAACTGTAAATGGCTAAGGCACAAGCAAAACCCCCCTCTTTAATCATCAATTAGTATTAAACAAAAATACTATTTGAAGATTAAAAATACAAACATTAACTTACATCACCTACCAAAAAGGACCGACTTGTCGCTAACATTGGTGAGATAAACACAGGATTTAGGTTTCAAGCTTCTCAGATTCAATTTGACTCCACTTATAAATATGAATGTAGAGCAGAAGGAACAAGAAACTAAACTTTAAGCCATTCTGAAGGTTCTTGGTTGTGTATCTGATGCTGTCGATTCAGTGTTTGAGCCTGACTTTCTCTGATGCTTCAGTTTCATTCACATCTTCAGCTATGAGTGGGGTCAACAATGACTTGTCCTGTTGCTAAACTCAATCAGGAGGTTAAGAAGTTGCAACTGTAACAATCAAGAAAACCTGAACGCAGCATGGCATGTCCACTTTTTGTCAACTTGTACAGGTGACAACTGTTTAAAATGTCTGGCCAAGGCTCCCATGACAACACAACCCAGCACACCAGTGATAAACACCAGTTTGACATATTTGTGAATATCAATCAAATATTCCAAATGAGTCGTGAAGAATAACCAATGGTTCACTACATTTAATTTAAAACCAAAACGAGCAGCACCTGGTGCAGACTGATCCCTGTACCATATGTGACGTCACACCGACAGCCTGGATTTCCTAACAGTTCGGATTTTTATAAACTAATGACCTAAGATGCGTTCAGGTGAAATCTGAAAACTGCGTGAGCGCGCGGCCCATAGTAGACGCTCTGACGAGGGTGGATATCTTATGTAGTTAATAAACGACATTTAAAACAAAAAAAAATAAATTTTATTGTGCAACCGGAAGACTTCGAAATAGAAAAACACGAGTAACTCGAAACTAGTAACGGTTTTCCTCGTAGTTCCGCCGTGACTGGAAGTAAAAGGCCGCTGTTGAGTGCTTGGAAAATACAACATTGAGACATCAGTCTGGGAGCAGTCGCTTCAGCAGCTACTGCTGTTTATTTCAAGCGTGTTGCCATTTCTACATCACAAAATAAAACCGCTCCAAACAAAGAAGGAAACAGCTTAATAGTGCTAGAAAATAAGACAAGAGGGCTGCACGTCCTTACCTGAACGAGACGTGTTGGCTCAGTCCGTTATCCTGATCCGAGTCACACCGAACCGTTTTCACACGACAGCCATGGTACCAGCTGCGAGACAGATCCGGAAGGGACTCGTGTTAATTCTGAATCAATTTAAACTGCTTCTCAGTCACGACAGAGCTCTATTCGGTTCGGATTTGACAGAAAGATTTTCACCAAGCAAGCTAATCACCACACCCATGAAAGTGGGAACATGGCAACAGCCCACCCCGAGGGGTGCGTGGGAAACGGACACTCTTACAATTTCACACTTTTAAGCCATACAGCAAATCTACAAATGTAGTTTTTTTTCTCAAAACATATTTTCTGCGAGGTTTTACTCAACTGAAATGACAAAAGTGGGTTTACTAGCAAGTTTAGCGTGCTTGGTAAATGTTTGAACGTAGATGTGTACCCCACGGGTCAAATGGAACAGTCAGCCCCGTTACAAAAAGGAACCAAATGGGACACAGGAAACATATAAAATACCTGTAAATCTCTTTGTAGTGCTGCTATTAGAAACAGCAGCACGGGTAGTAATAGTAGTAGACTTTTTAGAATTAATTTAATCACAGTAAACCTGCAAAAAATGTTAACTTATTCTTGCTCTTATTCCGCTTTTCCTGGGATCCACTGATGTCCCTCTTCCTATTAAATTTCTCTCTCCCTTTCCTTACGTTTTTTTATTCGCAATTTTTATTTTTTTCCTCATTTTAAACACATTTTTAAACATTAAAAAAATCTTTTTATACTTTTATTTTTTGTTTTGTTTTTGTGAAGCGCCTCGTGTTCTTTATCTCGAGACGCGCAACGTAGTTTCTTCTTATTTGGTATAGCTCTAAGCCAGAAAGTCTGTATTTAACAACTAATCAATAATAATAATAAACGTATGTCATTCTGAGACTGAACCAATCGAGCCATTCTTTAAAGCTTCTGTAAAATAGAACATTTCTAGCTTCTTTAAACCTTAATTTGTGTTGTTTAATTTTTTTCGTGCTTTGGGTTAGACAAAACATTAAACCCAACAAATGTGTCTAACAACTCCAAGGAGCTTTTCTTTTACAGATCTTACACCATTTCCGCAGTGTCCGTCAACATTAATCAAGTGTTTATTCACTTGACTTGATCAGTAGGCTAGAGGAACTTGTAATGAATAAAAATAATCTAAAGGAAACAAAGTTACTAAAGTAATCTGTTGTGCTGGTTTTGAATTGATGTTAATCATGTAATATGTGTAAAAACCCAAATAAAAGCAATGTTTATGCCTCACCTAGCTCACCGTGGTTAGGCTCATTGAAAATAATCTCTCTCTCTCTCTCTCTCTCTCTCTCTCTCTCTCTCTCTCTCCCTCTCTCTCTCTCTCTCCATTAAGATATGATGAATTTTTTATGGGGCCAATGAAAGCGAGCAGTGGGATAGGCTTTTCCACATCTCTGCACGAGCCATAATCAATGGAGGGAGGATGAAAGTTCCTCAGCCCTTGGTTTCCTTTCAGAGAGGCATGGGGTCAGATTAAGTCTAAATGAATTCACTCACACAGCAGTGGTTTAGGTGTGTCAGGCCAGTGTACCCCTAAACAGATTATGAGGATTAGAATTAACATACTAGCAAGAGCAGACGGTGCATTGCAACTGTTTTGCCATTTAGTGAAACTGGGATTGCGGCTTTTGGAATTAATTTGATCAGAAACTAAAACACAATATAGATACAAAACGTTTTATTCACACATTTGAATGTGAGAAATGTGTTTTTTCCATCCATTGTTAAGTTTTATGATGCATGAATAAAGTATCTATATAAGAAGGTCAGCACTTGTGCTTTCTGACTCTAGTAAAAAAAAAAAAGAGAGAGAGAGAGAGATAATTCATTAGCCAGCTGAGAGCCACGGTCAGCATGTCCAAAAGCACATCTTTAGCCAATCAGGTCCCTCGGTCTATTGCTTGGCAACCAAGAGGGAGAGGAGGGAGCAAAATGACATTGTAAAAATAGCACATCAATAGCCTGGTGTGTGAAAAAAAGAAAGGCACATACGTTGATGGGGCTATAAATAGCATCACGAGGAGTGGAACAGGTGTTGTGTACAGTAACACAAGTGTACTGTTGCCCACATGTGTGTGGCCATTTTGCATTGATACAAATTTAGTGAGTCTAGTAGCACACGCGTAACAGTACACAGGCGTCGTTTGAATATGAGGGTGTTTTTCATACAACTATCAGCAGGCTGCTGCTGTTTGTGTTTTTCCCCCAGCCCCTTGTCATATGTGTGTTTTTGCATAATGCAAAAAAGAAAGATAAAACACCCAAGCAAACCAAAAATGCACCAGTGTGTGGGTCATCCTATCAAATGGAGAATGGTGGACGTCAGTCCTTAGAAAAATTTCTAGTGCGCTTTTTACTTTGCCTTAATTTGTGGCGATACTTCTCAACAATCTTTGTGTAATACTTTTACTGAATCAAAGACAATTAAGAGGTGAAGCAGCATTAGAGCCTTAAAAGGCTTCATCTGGGCTGTCTTATCCGCCAGACATCTCCCGGGGAGGCTGGCCGTTGCCAGAGTAACCCCCACAAATGGCAACTGACGTCAAGAAGGTAGGAGAAATACCAGGGAGAGCCAGAACTGCTATGCATAATGGATTTATTTTTATAGAGGACCCTCTTAAAGTGTGCAAAGTGACTTAATACTAAGCTCCAGATGCCTTCACCACCTTCATTTCTCTGTGATGAGGGAAATAGATTCAGACACGTTTCTGGGTTCTGTGTTTTGTGCAAAATATGCAGCATTCCTACAGTAATATATAATTGAGTTACATTTTTGACAATGACATGACTTGATAAATCAGTTCAGAAATATTATTCTGTACAAAAACCATGCTAAAAAATCTGTTAAAATTATGTGTAGTCTTCCAGAAACAATATTCTGTGAATAAAAGAAACCAAACTAGTTTTTAGAGAATCAGTTCCTTCAAGATGTTTATGAAGTAAAAGAAAAAGAATAATTTTCTATGAAACTGCTGCAGCTTTTAGAATGTGGTGGGTTTAAAGCATCATCAAATCAATAAATCATAAAACTGCGAATGTAAATTCAAAGAGTCGGAGTACCCGGTCCGGAGGGTTACCGGGGTCCCACCCTGGAGCCAGGCCTGGGGTTGGGGCCCGTGAGCGAGTGCCTGGTGGCCGGGCTTTTGCCCATGGGGCCCGGCCGGGCCCAGCCCGAACCGGATACATGGGCTCATCCAACTGTAGACCAGGTGGCAGACTGAGGCGGGAGCCTTGGCGGTCCGATCCCCGGACAAGGAAACTGGTTTTTGGGACATGGAACGTCACCTCGCTGGCGGGGAAGGAGCGGTACCAGCTAGATTTAGTCAGACTCACTTCGACACATAGCATTGGCTCTGGAACCCAAGTCCTTGAGAGGGGTTGGACACTCTCCTTTGCTGGAGTTGCTCTGGGTGAGAGGCGGAGGGCTGGGGTTGGCTTTTTGTTAGCCCCAAGACTCTCTGCCTGTGTGTTGGGGTTTAACCCGGGGGACCAGAGGATAGCTTCCCTGCGCCTTCGGGTTGGGGAACGGGTCCTGACTGTTGTTTGTGCTTATGGGCCAAATATCAGTTCAGAGTACCCACCCTTTATGGAGTCCCTGGGACAAGTGCTAGATAGTGCTCCATCAGGGGACTCCATTGTCCTGCTGGGGGACTTCAATGCTCACGTGGGCAATGACAGCTTGACCTGGAGGGGTGTGATTGGGAGGAACGGCCCGGCTGATCTGAACTCGAGCGGTGTTTCGTTATTGGACTTATGTGCAAGCTGCAGTTTGGCCATAACGACCATGTTCAAACATAAGGATGCCCATCGGTACACTTGGTACCAGGGCAGCCTAGGTCGCAGGTCAATGATAGACCTGCATCATCTGACCTGCGACCGTATGTTTTGGACACCGGAGTGAAGAGAGGAGCGGAGCTGTCAACTGACCACCACCTGGTGGTGAGTTGGATCAGATGGCAGGAGGAGATGACGCGTAGACATGGCAGACCCAAACGCATAGTGAAGGTCTGCTGGGAACGCCTGGCAGAAGAACCTGTCAAGACGTTCTTCAACTCCCACCTCCAGCAGAGCTTTGACCACGTCCCAAGAGCAGTGGGGGACATTGACTCAGAGTGGGCCTTGTTCCACTCTGCGATTGTTGAGGCGGCTGTTTCTAGCTGTGGTCGCAAGGTGGCTGGTGCCAGTCGTGGTGGCAACCCCCGTACCCGCTGGTGGACACCAGAGGTTCGGGGAGCCGTCAGGCTGAAGAAGGAGGCCTACAGGGCGTGGCTTGTCTGTGGGTCTCCGGATGCAGCAGACAGGTACCGGATAGCCAAGCGGGGTGCAGCAGTGGCAGTTGCCGAGGCAAAATCTCGGGCGTGGGAGGAGTTCGATGAGGCCATGGAGAAAGACTATCGATCGGCTCCAAAGAGATTCTGGCAAACTGTCTGGCGCCTCAGGAGAGGAAGGCAGCAACTTGCTCACACTGTTTACAGTGGGGATGGGGAGCTGCTGACGTCAACTGGGGCTATAGTCGGACGGTGGAAGGAATACTTTGAGGAGCTCCTCAATCTCACCTACGCGCATTCCGAGGAGGAACCAGAGCCGACACACCAGAGACTGTCCAATCTCGGGGGCAGAAGTTGCTGAGGTAGTCAAACAACTACACAGCGGCGGAGCCTCGGGGGCGGATGAAATTTGTCCTGGGTATCTCAAGGCTATGGATGTTGTAGGGCTGTCATGGTTGACACGTCTCTGCAACATTGCGTGGTCATCGGAGGCAGTGCCTGTGGAGTGGCAGACCGGGGTGGTGGTCCCCATCTTTAAGAAGGGTGACCGGAGGGTATGTTCCAACTATAGGGGGATCACACTCCTCAGCCTCCCTGGAAAGGTCTACTCCAAGGTACTGGAGAGGAGGGTCCAATCGATAGTTGAATCTCAGATTGAGGAGGAGCAATGTGGTTTTCGTCCTGGCCGTGGAACTGTGGACCAGCTCTATACCCTTGCAAGGGTGATGGAGGGGGCATGGGAGTTTTTCCAACCAATCCACATGTGTTTTGTGGATTTGGAGAAGGCTTATGATCGTGTCCCCAGGGGCACCCTGTGGGGGACGCTCCAGGAGTATGGGGTGGGTGGATTTCTGTTCAGGGCCATTCAGTCCCTTTACCAGAGGAGCGTGAGTTTGGTCCGCATAGCCGGTAGTAAGTCGGACCTGT